ACCGGAAATTTATTATTAATTTTAGGATATAAATAATAATAATAATAACGTGTTTTAGTAAATATTTATTTTTTTATGTGGTGAAATTTCTTTTTAATATTTACATCCGGTAAATTTATGACGTCATTTCCGTTTCGTATATAATTTTATCATTTTTTTTTTTTTGTTAAATTTCGGTTCGTTACCACCAATTTCGGTTTTGTATTTAAATTAACGAATTTTCTTTTTCCGTCGGAAAAAACACGAAAATGATTTTCCTTTTTTAAAAATTTTCTCTTAAAAATTCAGCAGGATTTGATTTAGCGTACCTTAATAAAAAAATTCTTTTTCTTCTTTTTAAATTTTATAACCGGAAAATTTTTTTAAAAAAAAAAAGGAAAGAAAAAAAAATTTTAAATTTTTACGACCGTCCAAAATTTTCCGTCGATAAAATTTTCCGATTAAAAAACGAAAAAAAAAGTAATAAAAATTTAAATTGTTAATAATTTAAATCTTTATTTAATTTGTTTTATTTTTATTTTTAAATCTGATTTATTTTAAATCTGTAAGAAAATTCTGGAAAAACAAGGAAAAAAGTAAAAAAGGAAAAAATCTCAATTAAAACGTATTGAAATAAAAAAAAAAAGGAAGAAAGTCGCGTTGAAAATTGCGTTTAAAAAAATTATTTGAATTTCTTTTTTTTTTTTTTTTAAATTGAAATTGAAATTGGAATTGAAAAATTTTTTTTTAATAATTTAAAAAAAAAAAAAAAGGAATATATTTATTTACATTTTTAAAATTGATTTTACTTGTCTCGGGAAAAAAAATAAAAACAGAGAAAAAGAAAAGAAAAAGGAAAAAAGGATGAAAAAAGATTTAATTTTTGATAGAAAAAATATTTTTACATAAAAAAAAAAAAAATCAATTTAATCTTTGTTATTTTGGGGCGGGGGGAGGGGGAGGGGAAAAAGAAAACAAAAACAAAAATATTTTACTGAAGAAAAACAACCCCCCCCCCAACAAAAAAAACCCAAAACATTTTTTTTTCGTTCCATTTTTGTTAATTTGCCAATTTTTTTCCCCCCATTTTAAGTTTTTTTTTTTTTTATAAAAAAAAAAAAAGAATAATTAATAAAATAAAATGGATATCTCTTTTTTTCCGCATACGAATATTATTATTATTATTATTATTATTATTATTATTTTCCAGAGAAAAAATAAGTTCAGAAGAAAGTACAGTACAAGAAGTTCTTGCATGGTACACGTCCGTTAATGCTGCCATGTTGGATCATTTAACAACAAGAATCAAAGAAACGGATAACAGCGGAGTTTGGAGGTGCGTTTTGTAAAAAGGGGTAGGGGAAAGGAGAAGGAAGAATTATACTTTACTTACGCACCCCTATCGAAGGAGGGGGAGGGGGAAAAACATCGCAAATCGATACTCGTAATAATGATATAAAATGTGGTCTATAGAGGTTCAATAAGATTTTGATTTATGTTCCATGAATGACTTCATTTAAATAAAAATTTTATCTCTCATAATTTTTTTAACTTTCTATTTTTTTTACTTTTTTATATTTGTGAAAATTTTTTTTTTTTCAGGTATTTATTAGCGTTTAAAAATATATTGAGAAGCATTGAAAATATGGGAATCGCATTAACCTACGGGATAAGTTATTATGGAAGAGGACAATTATCAACGTCTAATTATATAAGTTACGTAAGACACGAATCCTTGGGAAGCGATCTTTTAAATGCATCATTAAATTATGCATTAAGCGTCAAAGAACTTCATGCTAAATTAATTAATAATTTTACAGATTATCCAAAAATGAAAAGAAGGTATGTTAAAAGAAATAGGGATGAAATGGGGAGATGGGGAAAAGAATTAAAAGTTAAAAAGAAAACTTTTTTAACTTTTGTCTGAACCAATAAAAAAAATCTATTAAATTCGTATTTGTTCGAGTGATTTTTTTTTTCGTCCTGACAAACAAGAAGAAACGATAATAATAATAATAAAATTTTGTTTTTGAAAAGTTTTGTTACGAAACCATTTTTTTTTGTTTTTTTTTTTTTTTTTTTTAATGTAGAACAGAAGAAATTCTTCGTAATCAAAAAAGAAATGCTAGCATAGAAGATGCAATCGCTTACACGGATTCTCTGACGTCATATATTGACGAATTAAGAAAATTACAATATAAATTAAGAAAAGAAATCAAGTTTGTTTTCAACATTTATTTATTATTATTATTATTATTATTAACGTCGCGAATGATTAATAAAAAAAATGGTTTTTTTAGAAGGTACGTCGACGCCGATTTAAAAGAAGCATCGCATAAAGAAGGAATCGGTATAGCCATATTGATAATTGTATTGATAATATCACCGATAATAATAGTACTTGTGAGAAATGCTGTTGCCACGATACAAATGTATGCTGTTAATCTGTCGGAAAAAGCAAAAGAATTAAATAAAGAAAAAAAAAAAAGTGACGCATTACTTTTTCAAATGCTTCCCACGAGTGTCGCACAACAGTTGAAACAGGCACATCAAGTAATTAATTAATTTTTCACACCCCCCGTCGGCACCGCCTCGAACCCTCCCCCCCCCTTCATCTTAACACTAATAAAATGTTTTTTTTTAGGTACCAGCCGAATATTACGAATCAGTTACCGTTTATTTTTGCGACATTGTCGGATTTACGGAAATAGCAGCATTGAGTACACCATTGGAAGTAATTCGATACTTATTATTATTATTATTTGATTCCTTTTATTAAATTTTTTTTTAATAAATTTTTTTCTTTTTCAGGTAATATCTTTTCTTAATTCAATATATAAATTATTCGATGCGAGAATCGAATGTTACGACGTTTACAAAGTCGAATGCAGTGGAGATTCTTATATGGTAGCATCCGGACTTCCGGTTAAAAATGGAAACATGCACGTTACGGAAATAGCAACGATGGCTTTGGATTTATTAGCGGGTTCATCGGTTCTTAAAGTTCCACATAAACCAAATCAAACATTACAAATAAGAAGCGGATGTCATACGGGACCCGTTGTTGCAGGTATCGTAGGTTCTAAAATGCCAAGGTATTGTCTTTACGGTGATACTGTTAATACGGCATCGAGAATGGAATCGACGGGAAAAGGTAAGATTTTTAATTAATACACAATTCATAATAACCTTTTATAATAATTATAATAATTTAATAATCAGCTCAAAGAGTTCACATAAGTTTGGAAATGAAAATGGCGTTGGACGAAGCCGGTGGTTTTAAAATGGAACATAGGGGTTTGGTTTTTGTTAAGGGAAAAGGACAAATGGACACGTATTGGTTAAAGTGTAAAGATGGTGGTTTACCAAAGAGGAATCCTCCCGATACTTATTATAGTAAAAGGCAACCTTGTTATTTAAAAAGGATAATTGCCGATTATCATTCCGAGTGATAAGGGGAAAAAATCAAAACAATTGTTTGTTTCCTTAAGCTTTTATTTATTTATTTACAACAACAACAACAACAGGACGACAGCTTTTTTAAAATTCAAATATGCTTCTTCTGCTTATAAATTTGTGCGTGCGCGTGTGTGTTTTGTGCGTCGTATATTTTGTGTTTTCTGCTAAAAACAATTTTTGTGACGTCGACATTTAAAAAAAAAGACTGAATTTAATTAAATTTAAATTCCGGTGAAATAAAAAAAAAATTAAATAATAATAATAATAATAGTGTTGTCGTGTGACGGACGATGATGGTTTTAAAAAAAAAAAAAAAAATTTTTTGTTTGTGTAAATTTTAAGTGTGTAAAAATTAAAAATTTTTTTTTTTTTTCCTATAAGATGAAAACCAATTAATCATTAATAATTTTTTTCTTTTTTCATCGCGTCTATTATTATTATTATAATAAAAAAAAATCAATTCAATGATAAAAATCAATAATGATAATGATAACAATGCGAAAAGAATAAAAAATGAACCGTTTAAATGTTTCCATGTTAACGGACCCTGATCGTAATCCCCGAATTTACGAAAATTATAACCCACGTTATAAAGGGTTTGCTGTATCCAATATTGGGGTAAACCTGCAGCGAGAATTCTATGAATGTACAATTGAAAATAAGGGAAAACGGGATTACCGGGTGATAAATACATCGTCACGGGATACATTGAAAATTGTTCTTTCAACCAAAATATTTTCGGAAAATTATTTTTATCCCTGTAAGCGACCATAACCATATAAATTCCAACGACTCGTATATACAATCCAACTGATTTTTTTTTATACGCGATTTCCCTGAACGCGCTCCCGAAATCTTCGGTCAAAGTGTAACGTTCGGGTTTTAATATTTTTTTCCAAACTTTATAATTTGTTTGATTGTAAAAATTTTCGGCGGAACGAAATAAATAAAAGAAAATTTCATCGTCATCGGCTGCTTTTTCAATAGACGAATAAAAATGACCCAAATTCGGCCTTTTGAAAAGATCAAAAAGTGAACCTTCGAAATAAAACGATATGTATATTGAATAAGCGTAAAAGAAAAATATAAATAAACGATAATTGAATAATTTTGTTTTGATGTTAACCGATACGGATAAAGACATTTTTAATATATTGAAAAATGCACTTAAGTAACACCGGAAACGACGACGAATGATTTCATTTCCGTTTTCGTATGACGTGAGAAAAACAATAAAGACGGATGAAAACAACATGACGAATATAATCAACAACCAAACTTTATAATTAAATACTTTAAATAAATCCGATGCGTGTGTTTTTATATCGGGACTAGGTACGAACCAAACAAGTGAATCGTGATAATAAGGTTGTAGTGCCTGAGTCAATAAATAACGTTCCTGATTGAGTAACAAACATGAAAACGCGACGTCGACTTTTTGTTCCAGAAGATCTTCGAAAATTCCAACAGGAGTACCGTTGATTATCGTTTTTCCAGTATCGGTAAATGACATTATGTTAAGTTTAAAATTTAATTTTTCCGACAGAGTGTTTATCAGTAGCATTTCGATACCTTTTTTACGAAAATCGGGTTCGTCCCTCGGGAAAACGTAGGGTATGCACGCATCAGTTGCCGCAATTATTTCGCAACCGTTTAAATTTCCCGATGATAATTTTTCCGGGAATAAATTTTTATCGCCATATTTGAATTTATCATTTTCGTACGTGTCCAAATGTTGGATTATGTTTACTTTTAAACAATCCGGTTGTTTGTACGGGAACCAAGTGTAAAAATTAACTTGATTCCTTTTATTCATTATCCCGATTAAATTATTCGTTGATTTTGTCAATTTCCATAACTTATCGATTATCTTTCTCGAAAGTTCTTCTTCGTTTACGTTAAATTTAAGTAAATTTATCATTATTATGTTTTTACCCGTTGGATTCCATAATGGATTATTATTTATTTTATTTATTTCCTCGTTGAATATTTCATCCGATGTTAATTTTCTTTCGCTTAAAAATATTATTGTCGATTTTAATCTTTTCAACTTATATTCCGGTGACGTATTCCTATTATTATTATTATTATTGACGTATTGGTTGTTGTGGTTGTTGTCGCGGTTGTTGTTGTTGTAATCGTCGTAAGTCACTTGAAAAGTCCATTTTTGTAATTTCATTAATTTAATAAGTATCCTTTCGCCGAATTTATCATTATCATTATCATTATTATTATTATTATTATTATTATTATCATTATTATTATTTGCGAGTAATAAATTATTTTTCTTCTTTCCACTTGTTTTTAAATTTGTCGATAAATCGATCATTATCAAAACGGATTGATTATTTAAATATTTTTCCAATATGTCGATCAAACATTTTTCCAATATGTTTTTTTCATTTGACGTCACCACCGACTGGAGTGTAAAAATAACATTTAAATTAATAATAATAATAATAATAAAATAAATATTTTTTAACTGCATATTTTTCACAACTCGATACAAAGAACAAAACGCGATTAAATCGAATCGAATCGAATCGAATTTGTTTTTTAAATTTAAATTTCATCGATAAAAATCATTTTTATAAAAAAAAAAAAAAAAAAAACAAACAAATGGAAAAATCATGTTCGTCTATACAAATAATAATAATAATAATTTGATTTTATTGAAAAAGGAGGAAGAGAGGACAGATGTGGGAGGGGATGGGATGGAACGGAAGGGAGAGAGTGCGGGGAGGGGGAGGGTAAAAGAAAAACAAAGAATGCGTGTCTGACCAATATGGCGACTACCCTTGCCACAAAACTTTTAAAAACAAAAAAAAGAAAAAAAAAAATTTCACAAAACTTTATTTAAAATCCTCAGTTAAACAAAATAAAAATTAATTAATTAATTAATTACAATGATTCTATAGTAGTATTATTATTATTATTTATAATTATTAATTAATATTAATGATAACTAATATAACTACTACGTGTAAAACTAAAAATTGTTATTATTAATACACATAATAATAATAATAATAAATAAATATATAAAAAAATAAAATTATGTATCATCATCATCATCATCATCACTATCGTAATCGTCGTTTACATTTTAATAAAAATATGATAATAATAATAATAATAATAATAATAATAATATTGATTAAGGCAACGACGACGACTAAGACTAGGACGACTACGACGATGATAATAATAATAATTAATTAACTTTTTTTAAAAACCTTTGATTACGTCATTTCATTGTTTTTTTTATACAATTAAAAAAATTATTAAAAAAATATATAAAAAAAATTTATTTGTTTATTTATTTATTAATTAATTAATTATTTATTTATTTATGTAAATTGTTTAAACAAACGGGAGTTAAAAATTTATTTTTTTGTTTTTAAAGGCACAAATTTTTTTTTTTTTTGTTTTTATTAAAAAAATAAAATTTAAAAATTAATAATTAAAAAAATTTTAAAAATTGTACGATACGATTATAAATACGTTACAATTATTATTATTATTATTGTTAGTTTTTTTTTTTTTTTTGTAATAAAAAAAAAAGTGACAAACAAAATAATTAAAACATAAAAAAACATAAAAACATAAATCAAACAAAATCATAGCTGTGAATTGTTATTTGTTAATGCTTTAGTAGAATTTGTCGTTGTTGTTGTTGTTGTTGTTTTTATTTGTTTTGTACGATATTCGGTTGTTATGTGTTGATTTTTTAACATTTTTTCGATTCCTCTTAAATCGTCGTCATCTTCTCCTCCTCCTCCTCCTCCTCCTTCATTTAAATTTTTTATCGTTATCAATGGCAAATCGTTGTTATGATCCGTGACGTAATATTCGACCGTCGTTATTTCCGTCACCGGTTGTTTCCCTTGTTCGCCATTATTGATTTCTAATTGTTTTTGTGTTTTTGTCGTTGTTGTTGTTGTTGTTGCTGTTGCTGTTGCTGCTGCTATTATTTCTCGTGAGGTTTCTAATCCTTTTCCATCTCTTTTAAAATGACCACCACTTTCCATATCCGTTAATTTATTTACAATAGACGACGACGATGAATATTCTGGTTCTATCGTTTCAAAAACGTGTGTTACTTTTGTCATTTCCGATAATCCACTTCCGGTACCGCTTTTACCACTGCCACCACCACTAAATATTTCCAATTCTGTTAATTTTTGTGGTGATTTTTCAAAACTCGATATAAAATTTGGAGATTTTGATACGGTGGTCGATATTTCAAATAGTGAGGAATCATCAAACATGTCGTTGTTGATTTTGTTGTATTTTTTTGATTCTACATCGTTAACTTTTTCCGGTGATGTTAATATAACGTAATTTTTTTGAGTGATCGATGAACTTTGACCTAGAGCCGGACTGTCGTTATTCGATCTTGATTCGTTTCTATTTTCAAGAGAACATGCAAAAAAAAAAAAAAAAATAGATATTCATCATTCAGATAGTCATCTTTTTTATCATATCCAATAATTTTTTTACGCCATGTTCTCTTCTTTATTACGTCATCATGTTTTTTTTTTTATCATTGATAACAACGTGTTGATATCAATTTCGTGTCGTGTTGTTAAGACGTGTCACGAGATTCCAGTAAAATTTCCAAAATCCCCGCGCCAAATTTCAAATTTAATTAATTTTTTTTTTGTTTTAAATTTTAATCGTTTTGTTAATTTTGTTAGTTTAAGTAATAATAATAATAACAACGACGACGACGACGACATTTTTTCCCATTATTATTATTATTATTATGAATTATAAACGTTACTGATTAATAATAATATTAAAATAAAACAAAAATACATTACTATTATTATTATTATTATTCAAACAAAATGTTAAATGATCTAAATCTAAATATGAAAGAAAAATTTTTTTTTTCTTCTTTTGACTCCTTTTAATAATAATAATAATAATAATATAAATTTATTAATATAAGTAACATAATTAATTAATTAATTAATTAAATAAATAATTAAATAAAAATTTCGTTGCGATTTATTGTTAAGGAAGAGGCAGGAATCATCAGTAGTATTATTATTATTATTATTAATTAATATCCATACGTAGCACGAAACAATAAAAACAAACTCACGTGTTTGGGTGCGCGTGCGCGTGCGTGTTAAAAACATTCCGTTTAAAATTAATTCGTAACAAAAATTTTAGTAAAGCTATCGGAATTAATTGGGGATTATCATTGATAATTATCATTATTACTACCACACGGAGATTAATCTCATCGGATTAACGGATTTGCTTTTATAATATTATAAAATAATAATAATAATAATAATAATAATAATAATAATAATAATAATAAATAAGTACCGGAAACAAAAAGTTACAATCGTACTCGTAATCGTTGAAAAAAAAAAAAGTTGGTTTGTCGTACCTGATTCCTGACGCCCCCCCCTTCTCCTCCTCTTTTTCCTACCATTTCTACAAAAATTTTTTTGGAAGGAATAAAAGGGCACAGATTATTATTATTATTATTATTATTATCATTAATTGATAAACTAAAACTACTCATTTTTTTTTTTTTTTCGTTAATAAAAAACCGTACAATAAAAAATAATGTTTCCGTTTATAAAATTTATACGTGTATATATAATAATAATAATTATATAAAATATTTTAATCTTTTCTTTTAAATTCTTAATCTTCTTTTAATCTTTTAATCTCTATTAATTTTTTTAATAAATTAATTAATAACATATGTATATATTTACGCGCGTACTCATTCTTATTCGATATATAAAATTTATCAATTTTTGATTTTTGTTAGAGAATAAGCGCCATAACCTTCTCTTAAACGCAAAAATTATTGATGATAAGCGGCAAATATTATTATTATTATTATTATTATTATTATTATTATTAATGATAACGATTAAATTTGTCGTGATAAAATTTGAAAGTCTATTTATTATTATTACCGATTCCCGTAACTTTCGTATCCGCTTTGGTACCCGTCCGTTTCAACGTCGCTGTCTCCTCCTTTGAGTTTGTATTTAGCTTGTCTTATGGCCGTCAGCCGACTCCTCGCTTCTTCCAATTGTCTTTCGATTCTGAACACTTCGGATCTTGCATTTATCTCTTGAGCGATACCTGAGAGAAGAGGGAAACGTTTGTGAAAGATTTCATTTAATTTTTAATCGGGAAAAGGTACCTTAATTACGATAAGTATACTAACCGCCGACCATTCTCTTGTTCAAAATTAAACTTCTCTCTTCCTCTTGTTGTATGGCTTGCTGTGCAGCTCGTACTAAATTATCCGTGGCTCGCTTAACCGCGTTTCCAGCAGCCTGGAGAAAACAAAAAAAAAAAATTGTTTTAATCCAGGAATAATATCATCAAATAATAATAATAATAATAATAATACAATTACGCACTTGTAATCTTTTTGTACTGTCTGAATCGGGATCGGCTTTGACTTTGCACGCGACTAGAAGTTGGGCCGTTGAACTCGCCACTTGTTTAGCAGCCGATATTAATTTTTCTTCCGAGCTCACTCCCTGCACGAGAGAATTTGCCGATTCAACAAGGCTGTGAGTGGCTGCAGCCACGAGTCTTGCAGCAGAAATTAAACCTTCCGACCATTGTCCGTCGTCCGAGGATGTCAAAGGCCTTCTGCTAACCTAAAAATTAAAATTTAAAAATTTTTACAAATAATTCTTTTTTTTTTTCTTCCTATTGTTCACTGCAACCGAACAACAGTTAAAAATTAATTTACCTTTCCAAGATCGATTAATTCTCTTTGTGCGGCCGATGCAGCTTTAACCAAAGCGGAAGTTGCGGCGGCAATGGATTTAGCGGCTTCCAAAATCATTTCGTCAAAATTTAAACTTTCATCCGTTTCCTAATTGCGAAAAAATAAAAGTGTGTCATTTTTTGCTTTTTTGTAAAACAATTTTATATAAATGTCACTAAATAATTTATTTACATAAAAAAAATTCTTACTTCTTTTGTTATTATTTAAAAATTATTGAAGCGCGACGAATGGGATTTCAGCCTTGAAATATGTTCGATATTTGGTTGAAATTAAATAAAACAACCAAGAATATCAAACATATCTCAGAGATGAAACGAAATCATTTTCCATTTTGTTTTTTTTTTTATTAAAAATAAAAATTAAAACAAAAAAAAAAATATATAATTACCTGAATCGAACGTCTTGGCCTCAAACTGGCCAATTTTTTAGCGGCGGCATCGATTGAATTAGCCGCACCCAAAAGTTCATTTTCTGCTATTACCGTCGGATCATCTGGATCCACCCAATCGGCTCCTGTTGAAAATTACGAATAATACAATCGAATGTAAAACAATTTAAATAATAAACAAAAACAATAATAGTAATAATAATAATAATAATGTACCTTTTAATAATTGTGCGCTTGTTACAAGCTCTGTGACGCATTGTGCAATTTTTCTAGAAATCGTAGGCAATAAATTTTTGGCTTCGGCACTTCCGGGTTTACTCAAAACGTGCAAAATCGCTTGGAGGAGTTCTCTGTATTGTACGGCAACGTCGTGACCTGCTTGCAAAGTTCGATTTCTCGCCTCAACAGTTTCAGCATTACTAGCCACTCCCTAGAAAAAAAAAAAAAAAATTTTTTTAATTAAAATCTTTTTTTGCGCAACAATAATAATAATAATAATAATACTCATAATTTTTTTTTTTACCTTGCAAATAGATAACATATCCGATATGGCCTTTCTTCCGACGTTTGCAGCCACGATAGCATCATCTTGCTTTCCGCTATTTCCGGCGGCAACAGCACGAGCCGTTGCCGTGGTTATGGGTTTTGTACAACGAACCAAATCTTCAGGAGTCGCCGTGCTTTTAAACTGATCGGGTGACTGAAGAGCCTACGTAAGAGTCATCATTTATCATAAACATATTTAAAAAAAAAAAAACAAAATGGTTTCGAAATAAAAAAATTTCTCACTCGAATTTCTTGTGCTATGGCTTCGATCGTAGCTTCGAGAGCTCTCGTTCCTCTCGTGTGTTCATCTTCGACCGCTTTAACAGTTTTCAACAATGACGTCACATTTGTAACCATGACCTGTACAAGTGGGAAAAAAATAACAATTAATTACGATTGATCAAATACTTAAAATAATAATAATAATAATAAAAACTGCCAAAAGCTTAATTAATTAGTTATAAATTATAAATAATAATAATAATATCAAATGAATAAATAAATTAAAATAATAATAATAATAATAATAATAATAAAAAAGCTTAAGAGGCAACAAAAAAAAAAAAAAAACAGAGCGTAAGTCACAAAAAAAAAAATAAAAATTATATTTCCACCTAACAACAACAACAACAACAACAACAACAACTCTCGTAAGTAATTATTTACTATATAAAAAAAAAAAAGAAAACCTGTGAGAATATGATAAAATTATTATTATTATTAAAATGTTAATCACATACAAATTTTTTAAAGCTATTTTTGTTAGAAACAATCACAATCACAATTACAAATATTAAAAATAAATAAATAAATAATTAATTAATTAAATTGTTAATAACAATAATAATTTAGGAAAACACTATATTAACTCATATTTAAATAACTACTAACTTTTTTTTTCTCTTAATTTTTTTTTATTTTTAAATTTCTGTTGCAGACGAAAAGGTAAACGAAACGACTTGTAAGAAGAAGAAGAAGAAGAAGATGAAGAGAAAAAAAAAACAATATTTATTTCTGCACATCTATTTTTATTTAAAAGCAAATAGAAAAAGGGCAAACATAGAAATTATATGGAATGAAGATGTAAAACACAAGAAGAACGTTAATAAAAAAAAAAAGAAAAAACTATCGGATATGTAAAAACTTAAATTTACCAATTTTTTCTTTTTCTTCCTAATTATATATAATTAAAGAAAAAAATCAAGGTAGGAAAAAAGTTAAGGTTTCAGTATAAAAATCTTATTTTAAAATTAATTCAAACCAAGCTAAATTCACCTCTTATAAACCTTTCAAAAGAAAAGTACATCAGTGATTGTCTTAAAATAATTGTCTTATTAACATTTAGTTTTTTTTTTTTTTATAGGAATAGTAGATATTAGTCAGAAAATATTACAGCGTGATGAAGGGGTAGTAATAGAGGAAGACGCTAAAAAACAGACTACTAAACGGAAGCGAAAATCTCTTGATATGACGCTCTCGAAGAATGCGGTTGAAGACAATCGTTCTTAGAAAGAACGCGAATAAGTTCTTCTTCCTGCTCGGAGATGAATCGGTCGAATTCAGATTCCGCCATACGATCATCCTACCACACACAATAGAATACTCATTCAACGGAAAACTACGTCAAAAACCAACGCCAAAAACCAAATTTTTTTTTTTTTTTTGGCAAGAAAAACATTACATTATAAATGGCGAGAGGTGAATTCAGTCATCGGTTTTCATTCGGATTTTTCCTACCTCTTCTACCTTATCGGTCAGACGTGTATGTACGTAGGAGGTATTTTGTTTGAATTTTAACCTTTGATCTTGTATCGTATAGTATACTTTCAAAGCGAAGAAGAATCACGTGATAAATACTTTTTTTTTTTTTTTACTCTTTCCCACTGGTAAACTTTTAGTTATTATTTGTTATATTATTATTTAAAAACTCTTGACGAAACTTTTATTAATTCAAAACATTAGATTTAAAAAAAAAAAAAAACGTGAAATGTGTTAAATAACAATTTTTTTTTCGACAAACTCTAGGTAAATTTAATAATAATAATAATAATAAAACTAATTCTGAATTCACCAAATGCCATTTTTTTTTTTTTTTGTGACTTACGTTCGTGAGGGTTCGTATATCTGAACCATAAAATTTAATGACTATTTTTTTTTTTCAGTTAATTTTTTAAAATTTATTTGTATATACATATTGCAATTGTGAATGGTTCTAGAGCGCTGCGTAAATATTTCTTTAAAAAATTTTGTTGAAATTGAGATGCAGAAATAGTGTGTATTTACCTTGGCAGAATCCTTTAAATGGTTCATCGAGGGATGATCGATTCCTTTACCGCTCGCTGCTTTCGTTGCTTGTATTAAATCCCCCAAAGCACTCGCTACGTCTTTTACGGCATTGATTAACATGACTTGAGCCTCCGGATTGTTCGATCCAAGGCTAGCAGCTCCGAACTTGACGACTTCTGCCAATTGAACAATTGTTGTAACAGCGTTTTGAGCTGCTACCGCTAATTGTTCTTGACTGGAAGCAGCACCTAAAAGAAAAATTAAAATTTTTGTAAATTGTTTTGGAATTTTAACGCGATTAACCAAAATTAAATTTTTTTTTTTAGGTACCTGCTACTAAAGTTTTGGTGTCTTCTACCAACGCTTTGGCGGTTTTTAAAATGTTTTCTCGATGATCGGCAAACGTTTCGTTTTCATTTTCGGCGTGCAAAGTACCCGCCGTGGCAAACATAATGGTGGTGTCGAGGTCTCCAATTATTCCCGAAACAGTTGAAGCGGCGTTAATGCACGCTTGCGTTCCTCTCGATCCGGCTTGCAAAGCAGCCAGAATTTGAGAAACTCGTTCAGAAACGTGTCTCGACGCTTCGGTGACATCTCTTTGAGCGAACGTGTCACCCATGGGAGCGATTTGACGATTGTTTCCAGCTTTGATCAAATCCGTGCAAGATTTTCCTAAAGTTTGGATTCCACTTCTGCAGAAAAAAAATAATAATAAAGTAAGTATGCAATTTTTTTTTTTTTTTAAACCGTTAAATATAAATATAATTAGTTATTATTAACCTGATTCTCGTGGATACATCTGCATTGCTCGTTGATGAAGCAGCTCCAATACTGTCCGTTGCTAGTTGAGAATAATTTTTAGCTAAATCTGCCGACAATTTTCCCAACTTATCGGTATCAGAACTAGATTTAGTGGCCATTTCTTGGGCGATGTGCGCAATTTCTTTACATCTAGATACCATCCTCGTTTGGTAGTCGACAAAACTGTCGATTTGATCGATATCAATTGTCGAACTTCTGTTATCGGTAACACGTGTCATGGCTCGAGTTATGGAGTCGAGTAATCCTAAAAAAATGAACAATTAACTCGTAAATTTCATAAATTTAAATTTTAGATACACGATTTAGGGTTTTTCTTACCTGTGATGACGCCTGCTTGAGTTGAAAGATGTTCAAGCGTTAAATTCAAGTCTCTCAAAGCCTCTCGCGTGGCTTCCGTCGATTCATCGATATCGGGATGAATGTTCAACGCCTAAAAAAAAATAATAATTTAAAAATTAAACGTAAATAAAATTGATTACATTAATAATTTTTGTTTTAGAACAACGCAAATGAAGTGAATTATTACCTTTGGATTACCACCGCCTTCTTTAGCGGCACATATTAATTGAATGGCACTTTCGGTCAATGTTTTTGTCTGCTCAAGAAGCAACATTTGTTGCTGCGAATGAATAATATTGGATGCTGCACCGATTGAATTTTTCACAAGAGGTACGAAATATTGAATAAATTGAGTGACCTGTAAAATAAATTTTAAAAAATTTTTATTTACAACAAAATTATTAATTTTTTTAAGTTTCGTGAAATTTTATTTTAACTTAATAAATTTATCTTACAGTGTGTCCAACGTTTTCCGCTTGAGATTTGGCAGCAATTTTCAATGGATTTAATTTTTCGCTTATTTCATTAACGGAAGTTTGAACTTGGTCTGTAAATCCTTGCAATGTGTTTTCTCGGTGAGGCTGCAAACTCTGTCTTACTCCAGCAAGAGTAGCTTCATCTAGTTCTCTCATCAGGCCAGTTAATATTTCAATGGCATCATCACACTCTTTTTGCCCGGGAGCTTTGTTTCTATTATTAAAAAAAAAAAAAAAATGAAATTCTAGGTAAGTACCAACCTTATTTTAACTTTGATAGATGAAATTAATAAGGAACAGATAAAAAAATTACCGAATCGAAGATACGAGTTTTTTAATTGAATCGGACACAGATTTACTATGATTTGCCAATAACTGCCATGTCGGAGGATCTCTAGGACTTACTGCTAATGATTTCGCGGCAGTTACCATCGAACATGATCCATCGATAATTGCGTGTCCGGCAGAAGTAATCGGTTCCTAAAAATCATGAAATTAATAATTTTAAAGATTAAACTTGTATTAGCACTAACATTTTATTTTAACATCATCGCTTGTTTATACCTGGGCAGATCTGGCAGCAGCAGATATTTTTGCGGGTGAGCTGGCAAACTCAGAACTGCTGGCAAAAGTACAAAGGTTATCAACAGCTTCAAGTAACGGCTTTGTAGCTCTACTGGTATTCTGTCGATTAATTTCACTATAATCTTGATCTAGATTTTTTATTTCCTTTACGAGATTGGCTGTAGAATTGGCAACTTCTTTGGCAGATTGAACAAAATGACGTTTGGCGACCGGATTTGTGGTTTTTGTGGAAGCTAATCTAAACGCATTACAAAGCCCACTCGTATGTTTAGCAATAACTGCGGCAGCTGACAGAACCTAATAAGAAAAATTGTTTTAAATAACGTACACAGGTAAAATTAAAATTTATATTTCATTTTCTATTTTACCTGTTCGTGATTACTCGTCGGATTCGATAAATCCTGGCAAGCTGTTTGAATCGCTTGACTAGCTCTGGCAAGCTGAGCTTGATCTAATAAACCCGGTCGAGCTGCAGTCGAACTAGGATCGGACACTCCAATTAAATAGGCTGATTGTGCTGCAGCTTCTATAAGACCACATATGGAGGAAGACACGCCTTTAACGGCTTCACCAAACTGTTCGTATTCCGATTTTTTGGCGTGGTTGGCTATTCCGGTCATTCCATCACCTTAAATATAAATTAATTAATTATTGCCTTATCCTTTAAATTAAAATTGCTTAGGAAGTTGTTGGTAGCAAAAAAAAAAAAGAGAATTACCTAAACTCTTAGATTTAGCCATCACGGTATCTAAGCACTCAAAGTAAGTACAATCATTAACCGGCTCATTGGTATTGTCTAGAAGAGGTCTCATCGACTGAATATTTCTAATGGCATTATCACATTCCTTTTGACCAGGAGCGGCACTGACGCAAACATCGACCAAATAATTTATACTATCGGTAACAGCCCTAAAATCATTTTTTACGTAATAAATTAATAATAATTTATTTTTACTAATCTAAAAAGCTGATATTAAAATTTTTAAAAATAATTCACCTTGCGGCAGAAGTTAACTGATTTTTAGCATTAGGAGCGGAGGGATTACTAGCAACAGTTTTAGCTGTGGTCAATAATTTGCTTGATACTAACGATACATTTTTCAACGAGACAACCATTTGGCTTCTAATATCCGTATCCTAAAATTTTACACATTTAATTTAATTAATAATTTTAAGATATTTTTAAATTAATAAAACTAACAAACATGTAAAGTTTTTTTTTATAACTGAGTAACTAATAATGATAGGTATGAGTACCTTTGTTTGACCTGCCATTTCCATTGAAACCCCCATTAAATCATTAAAAGCATTTCCAAAAGTCTTAGAAGATTCAGCCAATTTCGATGAACTTCTAACACTCGTCACAACTTCAGTAGATGCATCATTTAGGTTAACAGCAGCTGAATTCAACTCTTGCTGCAATTCCCTACAATTAAAATTAACCATCCAGAAAATTTATATTTTGACATATGTTATACATTGAATTAATTATAGTTTTAATAAAATAAATGATTACCCGTAAGATTTATTTGTGTGGGGAAATTCATTCATGGTAAGAACTTGAGCAGCATCGTGTATATTATCAATAACTTCATCAACGTCTTTTTGTCCAGGCAAGCAGCTAACGCATTGATTAAGGGCTGCTGAAACATCTTTTGATATGCTCATTAATTCTCTATTATTAGCCTCTTCGCCCGAAATCAAAGTTGCTTTGGCTTCTTCTATTAAAGTTAAGGATTTGTTCATTACGTTATCAGCACTCTGAATGACTCTATGAAAATTAAATAAAAATTTAATGAAAATAATCATAAATTTTAGTATTTTAAATTCAAACTCGATGAAAAAAAATTTTACTTAGTCTGAAGTTGTCGATCTTTTGTTGTAGAAGCCACTCCGCGGACAGCCATTGTTAAATCTTTCAAGCTGCTAGCAGTTTCTTGAGCAGCAAGACCAGTGTAATTATCATTCTGTTGCGCAGCTGCCGTTTGTAACTGTGACATAGCAGAACGAACATTTTTGGAAGCAGTTCCAAGGTTCAAAGCAGCATCTGCAGCCTAAAAACGTAAAAACAGTTAATAAAAAATTTTACTTACATGGAAAATCAAACCTATATATAGGTATATTATATACCGTTTCACCCGGAAGTGGATGTAATTCGTTTCTCATTGCAGCTTTGTAGAAGGCATCCAGTTCTGTTTTAAGGCTTCTTATAAGTTGTGAGGCAGAATTAAAAGCTTCTCCATCGTAACCTCCGCAGACTTCTTTAGCTTTATCAACGGCACTTCGGAGATCATTTAAAGATGTGGCTAACTGTTGAGAACTGTTAGACAATTGTAAGGCACTTGCTTGATCAGATACAGTAGGAACGACTGAAAGCGCGGATTGAACCACTCGAGCTCCAGGCTTAAATATAATATAATTTATTAAATTTGAAATTACTTTTTATTAGTAAAATAAACATTTTCTTAAAATGTGGTACCTGTAAGAATTGTTCGCTAGCATTAATTAGATTCAATTGCGCACTACTGCTTTCAGGATTAGCAACGGATCCTTTAACTCCCTCGGCTAAACGTGGTAGAGCATCTGCTAAAGATCGACAATCTGTTAATAATTCATCTTGTGATGCTTTTGATTGATTACTTTGCCCGGCATTTTGAGCCGCTGTCAAACATTGAATGCTGGAACTAGCAGCTTGTTTTGCAGCATTCTACAAAAAAAATGAATACTCATTCAAATAATTTCAAACAAGGTGGTATTTCTTAAAGGAGTGTTTTAATACCTCTAATCTTGAAAAAAGTTTTCTGCGCAAAGCAGGAGTTGCTGCTTGAGTAGTAGCTAGTCTTAGGTCTTCAACGGCTCTACGCAAAGAATTTTGTCGATAAACATCATTTGGATTAGAAGCACACAATCGAGCGGCTTCGACCATTTTAGCTGTGGCGTCAGCTAAAACTTTAGCAGCCGCCAACAACCTTCGCTGAATTTCTGAATCCGGTTGTTTTTCAGCCTCGCCTTTAATAGCTTGAATAAGCTGAGCAGTGGCTTGCCCAAGAACTCTTGCTTGTCTCACCATTTCAGTTGAATCTGCGGAAGATGCTAAAAGACGATCCGTCGAAATCAAAATCGTTTCTACAGCACTTTCTTGAACCGTTTCTTTAGCCTTTTCACGTGAATAACCCCTGAAAAAATTTTTTAAAAATATATTTAACAAAAATTAACTTATGTAAAATCAATTTTCAGATAGGACAGTTACTGACTTGATATGATTCAGTAATTCATTTAAAGTTCGAGTTACTTCAGCAGCAGCTTGGCTCAATTCCCTTAATAAATTATCATCAGTGGTAGCGGAATTACAGACTTTAACCAAATCTTCGACCGCTTTCGCAACTTCTTTTACTGCTACCATTAATTGCTGCTGGCACGCAGGACTAGAAAGTGTCGGCGCAACAACCTGTAAAAAAAAAAATTCCTTTTAATCCTTTAAAAATTAACAACTATTATTATTACAAAAGAAAATTTGCATACCTTCGAACACGCTACTAGTTGAGATGTAGCTAAAGCACATTGTGATGCTGCAGAAATAACTTTATTTTGAACATTTGGATCATCACAGGTGGAAGCTATATTTTTAGCTTTCAAAACTAAGGCAGCGGTAGTATTGGCGACGGCTTTTGCGAGGTCTAAAATTATCGCGCGTAATCATTAGAATTAACTTTTAAGATAAAAAAAATTTTTTTTTACATATAAAATACTCTATAAAAAATTTATTGTACCCAAAAGCATATCTTGAAGTTCTTTATTATCTTCCGAATCTTCTCCGATAGTGGTTAAAACTTGATGAGATGCTTCTCCGACTCTACTAGCAGCAGATAACAAATTCTGACGAGTCTAAAAGTAAAAGTTTAGTATTTTATTAAAAGATTACATTTTTTAAAATTAATTTAGTTTTATTTTTAAAAAAATACTGACTTCCTTGGCTTCAGGTTCGGCTGCTTTTAATAAGTCGCTAAATGCGTGACAAAGTTGACGGGCAGCTTCTAATAATTTTTCACCGTTTCCTGAATCTTCCATTAAAGCAGCTATCATCCTTACTCCTCGGGTCATTTCGGGAAGATTACTTGCAATAGTTGTAATGGCGGCTCCAACAGCAGTATGATCAACATCTTCGTTTCCTAATTTTCACCATCGTACATATAAATAAATTATCATCTATTTAATAATAGTGCACAAAAATACAGCTTTTTAAAAAATTGATAAAATTTGGTAGGCCTAAACTAATTTTTTATTTTGATCTAGTGATAAGAAAATTGATAAGGCAAATTTAAATAAGGTCATTATTGAATTTAAATTCAAAAATTTTTACAAACGGGAGAAATTAAAATTGGTAAATTAATTTTAATTAAAAAGATTATTTTTGCTACTAACCGGATGTCAGAGTGACTACTTGGGCTGTAGCCGCATTCATGGCTGCTATTTGTGAACTAACATTTTGTTTATTAGTATCTAAAGTATCTTCTTTCCATTTTACAGAAGCGGGATCTGTTCCAAGAGGAGGTATCGGAACTTTGGTAACCAATTCTTTTTCTGCTGTTACAATGACTTCATGACCAGCACTGATTGTCGACAATAATGCTCTGTGAGGTTCCGAAAGGACATTTGTGATTTTCGTTTGTTGCATCTGTTTAAAGGTAATTTTATTAATATTCGTTAAAAATTTAATTCAAGCGGGATAAAATAAATTTAATAATTAATAACCAATAAAAAAATTTATAAGTTTTTAAGCTTTTGAAACGTAATAAATATTTTATGACTAACCCAAATTAAATTTACTAATTATTTGTAATAATTATTTAATTTTTTTTTTGACAAAAGTTTTATGTTTGTTTTAAAATATATATATATATATACCTACTCTGTCCCAAGAAGCATCTGCGTTAGCAAGACATGTAAATAAAATTTTATTTTTAAAAAATTACCCCCCAAATCAAAAACATTTTATACATAAAAAAAATTCCAATAATTAAGAGCAGCAAAAGGTCAATAATACTAAAAATTTAAACGTAAAACGGGTTGTTTGCAAAGTTGTTGATTTCTACTTTTCTTTCTTTCAGGGATTATTATTGCTAACTGTGATAACTTCTCGATTTTCAAACTTTGTGAAAAGGTTCAACTAAAAATTTTGGATAAAAAACAAATCAGCGGATAAGTCTGTAATAATACAAAAAAATAATTAAGTACCGTGGGTGGAGCATGAGCCAAATGCAGCTGACCACTGACTGTTGAATATTGAGCCGCTCCCATGTGGCCAGTTCCGTAAGTACGAGCACCTAAAATTAAATTTTCTTCCTGTAATCCTTTAATATATTTACAATGATAATGATAATAATTAATTATGAACCTTTTTTAATATGTACAAAGGGATTTTAAAATGAAAATTACCATCCGTTTTGTCCCGAATTTAGTATGACATAAAAATTTTTTCTTAATTGAAAAAATTTTAACATCTAAAAAATTACTGTCAAAATTTTAAATTGAATCAATTTTTGAAAATATACTAACCATCAGCTCCTGCCCTCATTATGGCGGGTTTGGCTACCGATTCGGTGTTGACTTTTCCAATCTTGTTTGTTTCGTGTTGAAGAATTGTGGCTTTCAATGGACTAACGCTATCCTCTACCATAGTGGATCCTTCATCACCTTCAATACCAAAATGATCTTTGGATTGTTTCTAGAAACAAAATATTTCTTTTAAATTTTGACTGACCATCAAAAAATTTTTTTGAAACTGTTCAAAGAATATAACAATTACTTTTTTCAAGATGATATCTATGTAGCCAGCAATAAGCTGTTGAATTTGTTCTGCTTCAGTGGTTTGAACGCAATAATATTCATCACTGTAATCGCCAAAATCTAATGTAAATGTATTCGGACTAGCTCCCCATCTTTTGACAGTGGTTAGAGGCCAAGTTTGTAAAATTTCTTTAGTTTTTTCATCCAACCTGAGAACGGAATCTTTTGTCACACCGAGCAAACGTGGTGCTAATTTATTTTTCCCTTTTATTTTTTCCTAAAATAAAAAATTTATAGAATTCTAATAAAACATTTTGAAATTTTATTATATTACATGAATTATGAGAATTTTGATGAATACCTTTACTAAGAAAAAAGCAACACCATAAGTTTTTAATGCTCTTGCTGTTTTAGTGTACAGTACTTTTGCATCCAACTCGGAAAGTCCTTGATGTTTCTTATGTTCTGAAAATATTTTTTTCTCTATTCCTTTTACTTTTAGGTAACTCAGAGGTAAAAATTCTTTTAAACTAAAAAAAAAAAAAAAAGATGAAAAAAATTGTTTTATAGCACAATTAGCCTTAAATTTAAAAAGTTTTTTTTTTTAATTTTAAAATAGTAAATTTTCTTACTCAAGAAATCCTGGACGATGTTTACTTTCAATATGATCCCCAAATTGAATTTGACTTTGAATACCAGCAAATTCGCAGGCTTTTTCTTGAGTGACAGGATGTTTCCCATGTAGTATAGCATCACGAGCTTGAACATACAATAAGTTTAATTGCACTGGATCTCTTGAATCAATATTTTGATCGGAGAAAAAAAATTTTCTTCTCAGGAGAACAGTTTCTGATTCATCGATTCCTTGCTCTCTTAAAGTTTTCGATGGATCAATCCAATTCACTGAAATAATTTAAATAAATAAATAAGCAAATAGTATTCGAATGTATTAAAAACATTTATCAAAATATTATTCGAGTTTAATAGAAGGTAAAAAAAAATTAGTTATTAACCTTCATCATCTGTTTTTAGTTTTTTTCTAAGTTGCTCCATTTTGGCATCTTTTTCCTTTTCTTCTTTTTTTCTCTTGAGTGTAAGGGTACCAAAATTAGGTTTGTTTTCAAGTTCATCTTCTAAATTTTCTCTCACAAGACTATACTCATCATGATTAGTTATACCTTGAAAATTATGCAATAAGTAATTGTGTTAAAACTAAAGGCTTAAATTTTTATTAATTATTACGTGAAATTATCAATTTCATACCGATTTTTGTACAAATTACAACCATGAGATTGGCAACTGGCTGACTGTCATCGACTAGAAGAGTTTTCAAAGTTCCATCCAACATTCGAACCCTTAACGTTCTTAATTTTCTTTTGTATTCCAATAAATCGCCATTCCTTAAAATATAATAATCCAAATTTCTTCCCGGTTCTAACCAGACACCTTTTTTTTGATCTTCGTCTGCTAAGAATAATCCATAATCTTTGGCTGTAAAATATAATTTAAAAAAAAAATATATCGATTAAATACCTTAACCAAAAGTGGTAAAAAAAAAAAAATTAATTTTTTATATTTTTTTCAAATTTAAAACCTACGCTCTCCTAAGTGAGCTTCACTTATTTTTTCTCTGATAAATTTACATGCATCGTACACTGAAGTCGAAGGATTAAAATTCATAGTCTTTGAGAAATTTTGATCCACGATACAGATTTTTAATGATAATGCCGCCATTTTGTTATTCGTTCGTTAATTTTGCGTTCTAACTATTATTCGGTTTACCTAATTTCCTGAAACAAAATTTAAAAAAAAAAAAAAACTTTTTAACTTTGAATTTTATTTATTCATTAAAAATTAATAATAATTAATTATAAAAATTATTTTTTTCGATTAATAATCATCAGTCTCTAAATAATTAAAATTATTCTTCATTTTAAAAAAAATTGATCAATTAAAATAACATTAAGCCATTTTTTTGTATAAGAATATGAATGAAATATTAATTTGAAAAGTACTACGTTGATCAAATCAATACGAAAGTAAAAAACTGGAATCGTCAATCATTGATTACATTTTTTTTTTTTTTTATCAATCAATCGTTTATAATTTTTTTCTATTGTGTCAAAATGACGAAATGAAAAAGAAAAAAAACGAATCACAAATGCTTAGTTTAAAAAAAAAAAAAAAAAAAAAAAAACTAAATGAAAAAAAATATTTAAGTAAAACTGATGGATGCTTGTGCAGTATCCATGGAAACTCCAATTCTAAAATTAGTCCATCCCCTTCCTTATCTTGAAGAATTTTTTTTTTTTTTTTTCCATTCATTCATTCTCCTCCATGAAATCATTGGAATAAAAAAAACTAAATTAATCAGTTGGTTTGATTAAAGCTTGACTTTGAATGATTTTAATTTTAAGTGAGTTTGTTTGTGAGTAAAAAAAAAAAAAACCCCCATTGCATGATTTCCTCCCTTAATGGCAAAAACAATGATTAAAAACAATTTAAAAAAAAAAAACCCCATTTCTTTAAACGTAAGTTTTTATTTTTAAAATTCTATTTTCTCTCGCACTAAATAATAACAAAACAAAAAAAAAAATTAATTTGTTCTAAAAAAAATTTTTTTAAAAACGAAACAAAAAAAAATTAAACAAACGAACGGAACATGAATCCAAATTTAAAAATGGAAACCTAGTTTGTGATGTTTAATAATAAAGTTATTTCTGGACATCGGCGGTTAATTTTTTTTTTTTTTTTTTTTATTCTTACTCAATAATAAGTATTTCGACAAAAATAAATTTCTTAAAAAAAAAACTAATTTTAAGTTTTTAATTTTTTTTTTCTTTTAGTTATAAATTTAAAAAAAAAAAAAAGGAAAAACTTTTTCATTACTTTTTAAAACCCACCGAGATTATTTCTCTAACGTCTCATTTTTCTTCATGTTAATCTAATCTTTATAAAACCAGAAAAAAAAGGAAAAAAAAAAAGAAAAAAAAATTACTGAAAAAACATGGTAATAAATAAGATTTAAATTAAAAGTTAAAATTTTACATGAAACTAATCTTTTTTTTTTTTGTTTTTTTGTTACTTTTCATCTTTTCAGTTAAATCCTTCATCATTCTTCTTGACAATTCACTTTTACTACTATTTAAACTTGAATGAAAAACAATTTTTTTAAAATACATTTTCTCTTAACTTAAATTCTATTTTCTACAAAAAAAAAAAAAAAAATCCTACTTAAAAAATAACCTCTTAAATACTAACAACCAACAAAACAACCAGACATCAGACTCTCATATTAAAAAAAAAATTCAAACAATTATAAAATTATTATTATTTTTAAATTGATATTGTTTAAATAAAAAAAAAAATTACAATTAAATCCTACCTTTTATATTTTCATGTTAAATGAATGATAATTTTAAACAAATTTGACGGTTAACCCGCGACTTCATTAGACCAAAAAAAAATATATGAACAAATTATAAAAAATCTAATGTAAAATTTATAAAAATATGATTATAAAAATACCCTGCATTCTTTTTTTTTCGAATATTCAAAAAAAAAAAAACTAAAAATACGTCAAATTATTAAATTGCATTGATAGAAAGTTAATATTGAACTCGGAATCAGAAGGTTACGCATTTTAATTAATTAATTGCGTTACGAAATACGTTTTTCGCGATTTAAATGAAAAAGTTCGTTCACTCGAAACATCTACACAGGAAGGATGCTGTACTGTAACTACAGCATCCAATGGTTCGGGGGTTGAAAATGATGATTCTGGAAAAGTTCTTGCGCTGGACAAATCTCAGAATTTCCTATAAAAAAGATGGAAAAAACGACGTCGTCGTTTTTCCATCTTTTTTTCTTTCCTTCTTTCTTTCCTTCTTTCCTTCTCTGTCTTTCTCTCTCTCTCTCCCTCTATCTCTTTTCTCTACTTATTTTTTTCCTTTTCTATTTTCCTTGTTTGCTTATTATTATTATTACATTTAAATAATTTTACAGAAAATAACTTTTTACAAATATTATTTTCTAGCTAACTAAACTTATTATACTTGTGGTTAAGTACGAAAAAAAAAAAACAAAACAAATGTCAATGATTAAAAAAGACTAAAAGACTAAAGACTAAAAAATTAGTACAAATAAATTTTTTAACTTTTCTCTCTTTAATAAATAGAAAATTTAAAAAATTTTTTTAATTTTATGGAGAAAAAAAAAAAAAAAAAAAATTAGAACAATTGATTCTTAGGCTTTTAAGAAATAACCAAATCAAAGTAATTGACACTAATTAACCCGTCAAACTCGGGGTAAATCATTAGAAAAAATAAAATTCATTTAAATTTTATGTCGTTTTAAAATACAAAATTGAAAACCAAAAAAATGAAACAATTTTCATTTATTTACAGGTAAATATATATTAATTATTATTAAATTAATGTTCAAAACATTAATACTCCCTCCCCCCCTTTTTGTGCACCACCTTGTCGCGGTAAAGGGGCTTAAGGTCTTACTGTTGGCAACAACAGCAAGGCCAACTAAGAGTGCACGAGCCCACAAAATGTGGGCGTTATTTTACGCCTACTTTTCTTTTTTTTTTTTTTTTTTAAATAAAAAATTAAGGCACGCTTTGAGGACAAAAGAAGTTGGGAAAATAATAATAAAAGTTTCTATAATATTTTACATAGAGGAAATGACGCACATGACAATACGGTTGATATCCTACTTCCTTTCTAAAATTTATTGAGTGGGGGGGAGATTTTTTTTTTTTTTCTATTTGATCTACTACTACTACTACTATACATGAAATCTTAAAATCTCTTATTTCAAAATAATAATTAGGAAATTTTGACAAAACATTTTGTCGTGTAGTTGTAAAAATCATTTATTTTTTTGTACACTGGATACATTTTCAATCTAAAAAAAAGTCTGTGAGAAAAGTCAATGCGCCTATATAATCTATATTATATTTATAAGCCATTTTGATTTTCTTAAAATAACTTATTTGTCGTGGAGTCGTCTCAGTTGATTCTTTTGAAATGATGCATTGTTCTCTTAATTTAATTGCCATTTTTTAATTGTCTAAAAAGCTTTAACGAAAAAACACAAAAAAAAAAAACTTTTACTCTTGTTAATTGATTTGCGAAATTCACCTTTTTCATCATCACTGGATTCCAGTTGATGATACGCCATCGGGACTACAATATATGGCTTTAAGCCAAAAAAAACATCATACTAAAAACTTTTTTCCTTTTTTTTTTTTTTTTAAATAATTTCGGAGGGGGATGAGTTTTCAATAGAAAAAAATAGGGAGAGTAAAATGGAAACTCAACAACTCAACCCAGAAGTTGGCACCGAAAAAAAAAAAAAAAAAAAAGTTTTGTTTCTTGACTAAAACGATAAACCGTCAAACAGGCGCCGATGTTCGGAGAGCGCCTTAAAGTCTCCTTTCCTCTCATTGGTCGCCCGTTTAAGCTTTATATTATCCAGTATTTGGATTAGCTGTCAAGTTCAATTTTTTTTATGATTTTTTTACTTTATTTTATTTTATTTTTTTTTATATTTTCTTCTTTTCCTATTGCCAGTGAATGTTACTCCAAAACTTTACTTTGTTTTTACAATTAGTAAAAGTAAAACACAAAAAAAATAAAATTTTCATTTTATATTTTCGGTAATATTTTATTGTTTTACTACATCACTAATGATAAACATTTGAAATTGATAAAAAAAACGATTATTCTTTTCAATTCATTTTCTTAAGTAAATTATTTTTATAAATCATAGTGTAAATATATATACATAATGTCTGTAACAGATATCAGGGCTCGACAAACATCAAACTATCCATCACAATCGGAAAATTTTTCTTCCAATATAAGGCTTTTTAATATTTCATGTCCGATAGCTCTTGCTATTGGTGGCGGTACAGCATTACCCACTTGCCTAAATTTATCGGCGACAGCTCCGTAAAATTTAAAAGAATCAGGCATGCCTTGAGCTCTTGCAGATTCCCGAATTGTGATGATGCGGTCTTCTTCTGGATGTAAAACTTTCCCTTGTTGATTTGACGGTTCCGGATTTGTTGTCACCGTATTAAAAACACCATCCCAATCCAAGCGACCGTATAAGCCAGACCAATTATTATTACGATTAGCCGTATGAGCCAAAAACCAAGGAATTAAGGTATTGTTTTGTCGAGCTTTTGGAGTGCAAGATTTTCCCGAAGCGCAACTACAAACTCCGCGCAATAAACCGCAACAAGATTTTCCATTTTTACGATCGTGATAAGAATATTTTAGCAAATTCGTTAAGGTTCCATCTCGAAGGCGAACTTGAATGTTTGGTAAATCTCTCCAATCGCATCCTTTTGAAGCAGGAATGTGCCGAATTCGAGCTTCATTTAGAGGACTTATTTCTTTGGTGATGTGATCATGAACCGAATAAGAAGATGTCTTTAAAAATCTTTGGTATGAAGTTGGTGAAGATGAAAAATTTTTATTTGATGCTTTGCCCACGGGAGGTAAGTCGAAAATTGCATCTCTGACTGTAACGTTTCTAAAAGGTGCCGAGGGAGACAAAGTTTTCGAAAATCGACATCTAAAATTTGTATAGTTCATTTCAGAATCAAAGTTTTTTAACGAGCCATAAAATACATGCGTAGGCTTAGGAAAGAACGGAAGCCGATAACCTGGAGCAGCAGCTAATATAAACAATCTCCTCCTAGATTGAGGCAAACCGTAGTTACCTGCCTGAAGTACCCCGAAAGAACACTGATAACCCATGGTAACTAAACAACTAAGGACATGTTTAAAAAAGAGGGATTTTTTAAATGACAAAAAATTTTTTACGTTTTCTAATAAAAAAAATTTCGGTCGATAATAATCGCAAAATGAAAGGTATGTTATTATTAAAGAATTGTTGTACTGAGATTCTTCTTTAGTTGTAAATCTGTTCATGGTACTGAAACCCTGACAGGGCGGTCCTCCACATAGAAACTCAACTTCTCCTTTTTCGGGATAACGATTTCCATCCTTGTCGAATGTTTTCCCGGACAAAACTTCCTTTAGAAAAAAATTGCAGTCACTTTCAAACATTACAATATTTGAAAAATTTAATTTGAACGCTTCAGACGTAGGTTTGTCAATGTCGATTGCCCAAGCAATATCAGCGATACCTGACTGTCGTAGCCCTTCTGCTAAACCTCCGCATCCAGAAAACGCATTGAGCGTTTTCAACTTTTTAACATCTTTAACATTTTCTTCAGCATTACGTATAACTGCATTTTGAACTTTGTAAAAGGTTTCATTTGCAGAATTAAAACCAGAATGAAAATAAAATTGGATTTTCGAATTCACCTGAGGAGGAAATTCCGAATGAATTACATTACAACGACCTTGAACATGATCGAGTGATACCTTAACCTCTTCTTCTGACCAATAAAGCAATTGAAGATCGAATAGTCGTTTATCACCCGCTTTAATAACGCGAGTATTTTCCGGACGATAAAACAATTTTACAGTTAAAAATAAATTTTTTTGTGATCCGCCAACAAGAGAAAAAATATTTTCGACGTAAGCAACCACAAATGGTTCTGGACACTCTTCAGTCAAATTGATTTCTTTCGCTTTTCTATAAATTTCAGGGTAAATAACTTCGTTAGCTTTGATGGTGACCAAAGTTTTCTCGATTCTTAATGATGATTTTTGAGCTTCGAAAACAACGGAAAAGGGTTCCAAAAATACACAACAACCTGGAACGTATTCTTCATTCGTACGAACTATTTTTTCATAGAGAATAATACCAGAGTCGTGAACTTTTTGACCAAAAGTAGTAATGGCCGTAGCTTTTTCCTCTTTCAATTTTTTGTTACAAACGCTACATTCAGAACTTGAATTTTCTTCGTAATCTTCAAACGTTCCGTACGCCTCCAAATATTTTTTTTGAATGAAAAATACATTTTGCGAAGGTGTAGGTTGATAATTTAAATACTGATCCCAGGTACTCGGGGGCTTCCTTATTTCCACATTTAATTTTTTTGTAATTTTACAAATTGGCCAATCGCTGCATTCTTCAATGTAAAAAATTTCAAACGGATCACAAGCATTTCCAAGAATAGTTTCTGAACCCTTTATAAATTCGATGCAGTGAACTTTCTTGGTAAAATTTTGTTCGAAAAATCGTTCTATTCGAAAAACTTTGTTCTCTTTTACAGATTGATTAGTATTGATTTCAACGAAATCTTTGACGTGAAATATTTCGTCATTTACCACAGCAAAATTTGAATTTTTTTCCCATGAAAATTTAATTATTTTTTTCGGTGACGAATCATCGATCGAATTAATTTTTTTTGCGGTTTTGTCAGATAAACCGTTTTCTTTATTAAAAAAAAATTTAAAATGATTCCTAACCAATGGCGTTGTTGTTGTTGTTTTAAAAATACTCTTATAACCAAATCTTTTTCTTCCGTAATCTAGTTTTCCTATATTTATTTTATATTTTTTTATCATATCTTGTATCGCAGGAGTTGATATAAGTTTTTTATTACTATCAACTTCCCGAACTTGATCAATAATGAACTGTGCATTTTTACAGATACTAAGTTCGTCAAAAGGCTCAATGTCATCCGGAACGGAAACTTCATTCAATCTATTTAGTAGCTCCTCAAAAGTAGGTTTAGAAGTATTATTTAAAAATTCAATAACAATTTTTGTTAACAGGGCTTTCTGCTTCGGTATCCGCATAAAAGAACTGTATTCAGAACTGGATTCCATTAAAATGTACTCAGCGTACGGAGTGCGAAATGCAATTAAAAAACTATTTCCGCCATCGTATCCAGAAATCCACCACTCAACTATTGGACCCAGCTCCTGAGCAGGAACCCCGTTGTTGGGACTAGGGTCATCGTCGTAAATTGGTTTTATATATCCACTAAAAAATATTAACTGATCGTTTTCTATGAGACCAGTGTCAAAAGGACATAAATGCCCTTCACCGTCAAATACAGTAAAACAAGTAATTTTGTGTAAAGGTTTTATGTCTATCTCCGGAATGAAACCGCCATCGCAATAAAGCTGCAGGCGGTCATCTGTTAGCGCAGCTTCTTCTTCTAATGCGCTTTCCTTAAGACCTTGAAACAATTTTGTATTAGGATCTAAAATATTTTGTTTACAAATATGACAAATTACAGGAGAGCTATCGTTTTCCTTCGATAATTTTTTCTTCTTATTTTCCGGAAAAAAATCACTCTCAAATTCTGATTCGGTCCAATCGTACGATTTTGATAACAAAACATTATTATTAATATTTTCGTAATTTGTTTCTGTCATTTTGTTTTTTTTTTTTTTAAAGAATATTGGCTTTTATATTGATTACCTATTTATATAAAAAAAAAATAATTTAATGAGTCGTTGAAGTTCTTTCAAAGGTTTGCCCACTAAAACCCAAAAGTAACTACTTATTTTTCTTTCTTTCAAGACAAAAAATGTTTTTAATTATCCGGAAAGATCTCTTACGTAATATTGAGTAATTTTAAATCTTTCAAAATTAAAAAAATTTAATAAATTCAATAATATTTACATTTGTAAGATTAATTAAGTAATTTCATAGCAAACAGGTATTTACTGATTTAACATCAATAATAATAAAATACTTTATTTTATTATTATTGATGTTAAAAAAAAAATCATCATTATCCACAAAGAGGAAAAGCCTTCTTAATAATAATAATAAATTTAGTAATTTTGTGGTCGATTTTTAAGAGATTTTTCCGGTCGATCAAGCCACAGATAAAAATGAAGATAGTAAGATGCCCTCACTCTTTGACTTAAATAAAAAAAAATACTAAATTACCATTTTCTTAAACTTACTAATAACTAATTTTTATTATTTATGATTGTCAATAAATATAACCAAGTTTTTTTTTTTTTTTTTTTTTTTACTTACAATATGCAAGCTATAAAAACTTACTGACGTCATTTTTAATTCAATTAAAAAGCAAAATTTTAACTTTAAAGAAAAAATATTAAGAGTAACAACAAATCATTATAAAAATCCAAAGCTTTCTGCTAAATATGAACTTACTGTTATATTGATTATACACTTATAATCTAAATTCAGATCAGTGACAAATTAAAATGGTTATGACAAAAGGTACCTTTATACATACGACAAATTATAAAACCAAACCGATAAGTTTTCGTTGCCTCATTTTTCTTTTCTTTGTATAAATAGTATTATAAAATTGGTATACACTAAATTCAATATTCTATGACAGTCACAAAAATAAAACATATGAATAATTAAAAAAAGTTTTCAATGGAATGACTCTATTCACTAATATTAATTAATAAAGTAATTAATATCCATTATAATACATTAAATTATCCAATCATTACCCTGACCCATTAATTCTATTTTGTTTATTAAATAAACAAGTTTAACAAAAAATTTATTTATTTTTTAAATTAGGCTTTGGTACCTTTAATTGTAACCGATAAAAAATTGAAAATAAAATAAAAAAATATTTTAAATAGCATAAAATGATTAAAGTAATACTTATACTAATACAATATAATAGTAAATAATAAAACAAATACAAAAGCAAATTATTTTTAGGCCATTAAAATCCGGGCTCTAAAGAAATCAATAACACTCCCAGTATGGTAAGAAAAATGAAAAAATTTCCAAATAAAGTATTGCCAAATAAATTTATTTTACGGACATTAAGCTTTAATAATGAGAAAAAAAAATTTAAAACCAAATTTCCTGGGTTAAAAATAATTTTCTCTTACTTTTATTTAATAAGAAATAATTTAAATGTAAAAAATAGGTAAGCCTACGCAAACGCTTCCTTATAAAGAATTAGATCATGCATTTCTTAAATATATCTATTTTTTGTATCGAATAAATCAAAAGTAACATTTATACTTAAAGCAAAAAGATATAAAAAGCTAAATATACTAAAATAAAGTATAATCGCCAGATTAATGAAAAAAAAAAAAAAAATCAATACATGACTGCTAGTATTGAAAAGAATAAGAATTGATATTACCCAAGTAAAATCCCGATAAATATCAATATAAATAACTCAAATAAAGAATAATTATAAAAATTTTTAAATATATCAATCAAAATAAAACAAATTAACATAATTAAATACTTACGTGATGTACAAATAAAAAATTAAAAAAAATTTTCACACAAGTAAACCATTTTTTGTACATCAAAGATATTATTAACGCCCTTATCGCTACCAACATTGAAATACGAAATTCTGTGTAATTGTAAATTAAACGCCTTAGTGAATTTTTTATACGTGAGGTTTGCCATACTCGCAAATTTGCGTAGGAAAAATTATTTCGCAACTATATATATATATATTGTTCCATTTTTTTCTTTTTTTTTTAATTCTAATTGATTTCATGTGAAATAAATCAAACTTCCTTTAATTAAAAATTCTTTATATTTTATCTTTACATCCCGTTTTTAAACAATCGTGTAAGTACCTTAACAGCATATAAACTTATACAGTTTTCCTTATTATCATGTTTTTGGTAACGGAAAAAAAAGATTTTATTTGATTTTTTATTGTGTTTTGAAAAAGAAAAAATAATAATTTTTTTTGAATTAGCGATGAATTTTGAAAACCTATTCGGGTAAAGTTAGAATCATAAAAAAAAAAAAAAATTTTTTTTTTTTAAACTATACTTTTTTTAGTGCCATAAAATAAAAAATAATTTTTTTGAACCATTCAGCAGGGTCAGCAACTATGTTTTGCACTCGTGCAACTTTACCATCAAGTCTTTGCTCCAGCGACAGTATTCCTGACGCCATTTCTCTTCTCCCTGGAAAAGCGGATTTAATGATTTTCTAGACAAAAAAAAAAAAATTATAACTCAATCAAAATATCTTTCACATCTTTTTCTTTTAAATCCATCACAACATCTCTCAATTATTTTGCTTTTTCTGAAAATTTAAATTTAACAACGTATAATTTTATGTAAAACCAATATGAAGAATTCTTTATATTAGATAATGTAATAATAGCCAATACTTTTTTCAATTCTTTTTTTTCGGGAAAAAATTCAAATGTATTGATATTTATATATAATTAAACATATATTTATAAATTAAATAAGAATTATAATATGTAATTGAGTTATAAAAAAGATACAGTAAGACTTAAACTTATTAGTAAAAAAGAGTAAGATTGTTGTTGTTCATTGAATACGCACCCTCGCGACAGAAATGGCGCCTAAAAGTCGTTGAAGAGTTAGGAAATGTAGCAAATTTCTACTGGTTTTAGATCTCGCATCTTTTATTCTTTTATTTTTTTGGAATTTCAAACTTCCCACTCTCTTTTCCTTTTGGAAAACATTATCTGGCAACCAGTTTATCTTCTCCTCCTTCTTTATTCTTTAATACCTTTCGCCCATTTCTATCTACTACCATCATTTTTTTTTTTTTTTTTTTTTTATGTATGAGGGTTGCTCCTTTTTTCGGCGCCCAAATGGCGTCAATATCAGCAAAACTTTTCTTTTCAACTTTTGTTTTCCCCTCTTATCTGAATAAAATATTAATACTCATCCTCCATAAATAAAATTCAATAAATTTAAAAGTCAGAATGTCATTAAATTATAAAAAAAAAAAAAAAAAAATTTTTTTATTTTTTTTTTTAATTTACTGATTAATTATTATTATTATTATTATTATTACTAATTGTTTTGAAAATAATTAAAAACGTTTTTCTTTTTTTAATTATTTTTTTTTTCTTCAAATTGTTATTCGTTTAATAAAAACATTCATTATAAAAAATATTAAAAACTTTTTCCCTACAAAATATTTTTTAGTTAAAATAATTTTTATAATGAAAAATTAATTTTATTTGTGTTAAACTTATGGCCATTAAATCCAAAATAAAATTAACAAGTTTACCTTGTAATTTTTTAAGTCATTAATAATGTATTAATGGTAAGTATTAAAAACTATTTTAAAAAATTTCAATTAAATTATTGCAATGTTTTTCCAAATTTTAAAAATCAAATCAAAGTCAAAGTAAAAATAAAAAATAAATTTTTTATTAAAATTAATAGTATCTTTAATTTAAAATAAATAATATAAAACATAAAATAATGTACAAATGCTTTCGTCAAACTAAAATTCCATTTTTTTTTTTTTTTTTTCAGTTTTCAACAAGAAAAAATGTGAAACTACATAAGAACGTTACTTAAATCCGTTCCTGATTCCGCTGGTAATTCAACATCATCAGGAGGAATAAATTTTCCAATGGGTCTGATGGCACTCTGTAAAAATTCACATAAAATGTAAGTCACTTACCATTTATTATTATTATTTTTTTTAATCAAAATTTGACTTGGCTTACTACCTTCATTGCTTTAAATTTTTTCATTTCTTCTCTAAGTTTATTTAATATGGCATAATTCGGACTGTGTGAATTTCCTCTACTTTGCAACAATGTGATTTCTTGCTCTTCAATTTTTTTCTCTTTAACCGTTTTCACGGATGTGTTACCGTAAAGACGTAAAAGTGATCCCCAAGAAGGGATTTGAGGATGTAAAGCCTGCGTAAATGGTAATTTAATTAAAAAATTTTTTAACGCGAAATGAATTTATAAGCGATTAATAAATTCTTTTTGTTTTGTACAAAACCTGAAGTATGGCTTGAGATGCTTTCTGTTTACCATCTCTTTTATTCCGACAAATTACTTTGGCAGTATGATTACCCACAGTCATGGTGAATTCATTTTTACAATGTTTTATCGGAGTAGTTTCATATTTAATGTTCATTTGGCTAAGACCGAAATTCCTTTGCAAGCAAGTTAATAATATTTCGTGCGGTAGTGGTTCTGTTGTTTTAGCACAAAATTCCGTCACCCTAGGATCTTCTATTTTAATACCATCAAAAAACTAGAAAAATTATTGCATATTAAATTAAATATTTTTTTTATAACTTTTATTTATGACATTTTAGGAAAAAAAAAAAAATAAGCTAAACTCTGGTTTATAAAAGTCTCACCGAAAGATCAGTGTTTCCACGATTATAACCAGCGTGTCCACGAAGTTTTTCATCTTGATCTATTTTATCTTTCATTTCAGGTATTAATATTTCTAATGTTGCTTTGGCTGCATCATGCTTTGCTTGCTTTTTACTACTTCCAACCCCTGTGCCATATTGTATGTTTCCAATACTTACAACAGCTAAATATGGTGTTGCTGTGTTTTCTGTGAAAAAAAAAAAAAAATTTAAATTATTAAAAACCTAATTCTACCTAATTAAATTTATTCTACCCAATTCTATTTTCACCTAATTCTTTAAAGGTGTATACAGGTTGGTCTTTGAGAGCTCTTTGTACGTATTCGTGAAGAATGCAAACGTAGGATTTTCCGTTTGGATTCATTATCCATTCTCGAGTGTTGGCTGATTTGCCAGAGCTTGATTGTCTGATGGGACATGTAATCAATTTTGTATTTTTTGGTAGCGTGGGTCTTTGTTGAATTTTATCATTTTTTCGTTTTTTAAATTTTCTTCTTGCAAGCCTACAATAAAAAATTTGAATGGTCTATAAAAAAGCCTACATTAAACTCATAAAAGGAATTTTACATTTTACATTCATACCATGATTTAAATCTTAATACTTGTATAGTTTCAAATTCGAAAAGACTTTTACAATATTCAGTCAATTGTTCAGGAGTTAATTGTCTACTCGTTTCATTTTCTTGTGCAGTTTCTACCCTAGCATTTGGAATTTCAGTACCTAAAAGAAAGAAAAAATATTTCTCAAGTTATAAGTGAAAACTAAAATGAAAAAAAATCTATTCAAAATAAAATTTTACAATGAAAATTTACCATTTACCACTAGGACTGATGATTTGTTTGCTTCATCATTTCGTTTTTTCTCTTCTTCTTTAGCTCTTTTGTATTCTAAACAGGGTACTGCACTTAAAGGCAAAGCATGTTTTCGTGCACTTCCAGGTCCTAAACAGTAAGGTTTAGACAATGTGCAAACCCTTGTCGTTCTATGAAGATACAAAGGCATACCACTATTATGTGTTAATGTAACCCATCCATCTGGTAAAACCTCAAAATGATTTTTTACTTTTTCCACCATCACAAGTTTTTCTTTTTCAGTATATTCTTTTTCTTCTTCTTCTTCATTTTCTGTACATTTGTTTTTATCATCGTTTTTTTCTTCTTGATTTTCAGAATTATCAATATCAAGTTTTGGTTTTTTTTTTTCTGATCGTAAGTTTGTTATTCCTAAAATTAAACTAATTAAATTAAAAAATTACGTACAAGATAATCTATAATTTAGGTTTATATACAATACTTTAATTATAAAAATTTTTTTTTTTAAAAAAAAGGTTCAAATTTTAATTTTGGAATAACTATAAAATTTCAATTTATTGGAATATGAAGGATAAAAAGTGAATGAAAACTAACTTTCTTCCAGCATAGCATCTATTTCATCTTCTGATAAATCATCTCCATCATCGTCATCATCATCATCAACTTCATCATCTTCATCTTCATCCTCATCCTGTTCATCATTATAGTCACAAAATGTATTCTGACTGTCACATCCGTCATCGTCTCTATCATCAAATGGGCCAACTTCATCCAACAAATCAAATTCTCTTAACATTATTTCTTCTTGTGTTCTTATTCTTCCACAACCTTCTAAATTGGGATTATCAGAACATTCTGCTGACTTTGTTTCAAGCAACTCCTTATTACCTTTAAAGAAGACAATTAAAGTAATTATAAAGGCTATAAAGTTAAATGAAATTATAAACTGCATTGTTTTCTTTTTAGCATTTTAGTAATTCTTACAATAATTCATTTTTTTTACGTTTCTTACCTGAATTATTGGAAATATTTCCTTCATCTTTTTTACTAGCAGATGGGAATTCATTAGTCGAATCAAAATCAACATCAGAATGGCTATCACAAGCCAGTGGAATGTCTGATAAATCACAGTTTTCAATCATCTGAGACAAAAATATAATTTAAATTGAAAAAATTATTATAAATTTTTATAAGTAAATTACGACTGATTAATTTAAGAAAACGGTCAATTATTTTTTGGTTTTATTTTGAAATTATATATCATTTAATGTAGTCAAATAAATACCGGTAAAAATTTATATAAAAATTTATTATTGGTTCTACATAAACTATTGTTTTAGGGTATTTTTAAAGAAATTCTATTTAAAAATAAAAATATTTTTTATAATAAATCACGAAATAATAAAGATTCATACATTCAAATTTTTAAAGATTAAAAGATTAACGGCAGACGATAAAGGTTGTTTATTTAAAAAAAAAAAAAAAAGTGTCGTACATTTTTTTAATAACTTAATATTTTCATGAGATAAAAAATTTATTTAGCCAACTGTAGAAAAATGAATAATAATTGCATTATAAAAAAAACCGCGTTAATTTGTTCGAAAAATGTTTAATAATGATGATGTTTCAACAAACGTTACTTTCCTTTTTTTTAAAAGGCCATGATGCAATAGTTTATATATTTATTGACAAGTTTAATTGTGGAAATAAACCTTCGTGCTGAAGGTTATATTGAAATGACAAAAATTTAATTATGTATCATGACGCATACTCTAAAGTGAATGACATTGGATTTATTTTCACAATAATAAAGCTAAATATGTTTGTTTAAATGAAGGATAACGTCAGCTAAGCAGTAGAGGTCAGTCAGTGATAACACCTAAAATGTGATGATTAATTTGTTATTGAAAAATAAATTACTACAATCAATTTTTTTTTTTTTACCATCATTGTTTAAAATGTAAAATGTACCTTAAAATGAAATCGTGGAAAGCATCATCATTTAATTGATTTTAAAATTAATCGATTTAACAAATATTATTTTATTTATTTTGATAATTTATATAATAGCTTTCATTCATTTAATTATTAACGGTTGACTTTTTAGATTAAAACAATTTTATAATTTATTTATTTTTGTAAAATTCATTATTGATGTTTAATTTTGTTTCTGAAACGCTGACTGTGTCAATATGAGAATAATTCTTTTGATTAAATCGTTTTTAATGTAACACTGCAAAAGTATTGTTACTCAATATTGTATATTTAAATAGTTACTTAAAAATTTTGAAATCAAGATAAATTTTAAACATAATTTTTTTAAATCTATAACAGCATATGTTATTTTTTTCATTAAAACAGTAATAAATACATTTATTGTTTTATTACTTAGGTTGAGGAGTTGAATTCTAGTAAACCTACATGAATTTTTAAAAAGAATAATTATTTTGCAAGAGTGGATCAGTGTTTAGAAATTTTTTATATATCAAAATGACTAATTGGACAAAAAATCTTACCAAACTTTTAGATTTTTACTCTCAATTTACGCCAACTCCTTTGTCTATAAAACATTTTCTTGAGTTTGGTAAGTTAATATTTATAAATGTTTTTAATTTTTATTATGACAGAATAGAACAAATTTACAATTTAAAAGACATATAATTACAAAAATGAATAAATTTGGTTCAAAATTATTTTTCAGGTTTAGCAGCATGTGAGCGTAAATCATTCCTTTTTTTAAGGCAGGAACTTCCAGTACGCCTTTCAAATATCATGAAAGAAATTCATCTTTTACCACAAAATTTATTAAAAATGCCTTCTGTGGCACTTGTCAACGAATGGTATGCTCAATCATTTGAAGAAATATTAGAATTTGAAAAATCTGACATTAATGATAAAGTTTTAAATAGGTATTTAATAAGTTTTGATAAATTTTTTTTTTAAAAGTCAACATGTATACTTTTAATAATAATATCCAATTTTACAGATTTTGTGAATCATTAGTAAGGATTCGTAATCGTCATTATGATACTGTTCAAACTATGGCTCAAGGTGTTTTGGAACTAAAAGAATTACATAAAGTAGATCAACAGACAGAAAATTCAATACAGTATTTTTTAGATAGATTTTATATGTCTCGAATCAGCATTCGTATGTTAATCAATCAACACAGTAAGTAATTGAAATAATATTAATTTTATTTTTAAACCGTAAAAGTATTTTAATCGACACCAACCAAAATATAATACATTAATAAAATTAATTTTTAAGTAATACTTTTTTAATATTATTATAGCATTATTATTTGATAAAAATGTAGAGGGAGAAAAAAGTAAATTATCATCTCGTCATGTTGGTTGCATTGATCCAGCTTGCGATTTGAGAAATGTTGTTGAAGATGCTTATGAAAATGCTAAATTTTTATGTGATCAATACTATATGGCTAGTCCTGAGTTAATAGTTTATGAACACAACACTTCCATGTCAAAAGAAAGGATAAAAATTGTATATGTTCCAAGTCATCTATATCACATGCTATTTGAATTGTTTAAAAATTCAATGAGAGCAATAATGGAGCATCACAACAGCTCATCTGAAAATTTTTCACCCATAACAGTTACCATAGTAAAGGGTAAAGAAGATGTGTGTATTAAAATGTCAGATATGGGAGGTGGTATCCCACGCTCTGAAACAGAGCATTTATTTAAATATATGTATTCAACTGCACCTAGACCAAGTGGGGGTGATCATAGCTCAGCACCATTGGCAGGATATGGATATGGTTTACCAATATCTAGGTTGTATGCAAAATATTTTCATGGGGATTTACATCTTCTTTCCTGTGATGGGTATGGTACAGACACTATAATTTATTTAAAACTCTTAGCTAATGAAGCTAATGAATTACTTCCCATTTTTAATAAAACTTCGTCAAAATTTTATCAAGCCACAATACCAGCTGGAGATTGGTCAAATCAGTCTAGTTTCATAACAGCTAAAAACCAATCTCTTTCATCCAAAAAAATAAATAATTTTAAAAATGACACAACAATAAATAATGATTCAAAAATAAAAATTAATTCAAAAACTTGAGAAATACGATGGTTACCTATTATTTTGTTAAAATCGAATTAGCTTATTTTTAAGCCCTTATGATGTAGAAAGAAATTTTAAAATATATATAATATTTTAATTTATCTTTAATTTTAATTGATTATGTATTTATAAAATTATATGTATCTTGTTTATTTCATTTCAAAGTTTATTTTTCTATTTATTAATTATAAATATTCAATATTTTATAGCTAGTTTTTAGAACAAAATTAAGAATACATTTAATAAAAAATTTTTTTTATTGTTTTTCAATAAAAAGACATGTAAGATTTTTTTAATCTGTACTAATATCAAACATTTTATGACCAAAATTTAATATTAAAAACTAAAAATGTTATTTGTTACAAATTAAATATGAGGAATTATATATAATATTTTATGTAAAAAAAAAAAGAATTTTTAAAATAGTTTTAATAAACCAAAATATTTTTAACTTTTTGTATTTTACAATGCGGAACTATATAAACTATGGTTTTTAAAAAAGAGAAAATTTTCAAAATGTATATGAGTGCAATACAAAAATTAAAACACATTTAAATAATAAGCAAAAGAAAATTTAAATATCAGGTAACTGAAAGGTGCTGGAGAAAATATCAAAATAATAAAAAATATTTTTTAAATATGCCTTTTGGAATATTGACACGAAAATTGACAAGATATTTTTACTTATTATTAGTGACTTTGAATTTTTGATCTGAATTTAGAAATAAATCAGGGCAAAAAACATTTTAAGCAAACATTTTATGCGACAAGTAGTTCTTAGGTTACCTGATACGGTATGTAATTTGAATTATTAGTTTTTTTAATTAATTGTAATTCAAAACTGAAAATATTCTATGTTTATGTCTAAGCAGCACAGTCAAAGGTTATAAAAAATTTGTTGGCAGCTCTGGTATCTGTTGAAAGGATCTAGCATTTTGTAGTGATTGGTAAACGTAAATAATGGGAGTTTTGTTAAATTTGTACAGTAAATTCGTTAAATCAGTAGATTATAGGTATTAGAGTGTTAAAATGCAATGAAAGAAAGTAGAGGAATCACACCCTTGCGTACAATATTGCGTAATTGTTTAAACCATATTGAAAACTTGGAAACAAATCGTTCCATTTGTGATAATTATGACAGAGAATTTCAGGTTAGTTTCTTATATATTTAAAGTCAAATACTTTCACATCATAAAGTCTTCATTTTTTATTTCTAACTATTAGAAATTTTTAATAGTAGTATTGTTAATTATATATCATACATTTACTTTAAAATAGAGGTTATGTGTCAAATTATTAAAGTAATGTTTTTAGCATGGCATTTTAAAATATGATATTTTAAAATACAATCACACTTCAGCAAATATAAGTTATAATTTTATTATAAAAAATCATCTTTAATTAATTTATAAATTGTTGTCAGATTAATTGGTTTTGTTGTCATTTATTTTGTTCTCTTTAATTTCTATTTTTTATACCTCATGTACTTGTTTTATAGACAAAATTTTTGTTAAAACATTTTTATAATCCTTACTAATATTATTTTATATTTTAGGATTTGAAACAATTTAGTGAAACTTTAAAAGCTCAAAAAGAATTTGCTTGTACAGAAGGAGAAAAAGAAGTTAACAGGAAAAAAAATAGATACAAAGATATACTTCCTTGTAAGTAACATTCCTTAACAATTTTTACAATAATTTTTAATAATTGTTTAAAATAAGGATTTTATTTAAATTAATTAATATGTTTATTATGTTTCAGTTAATGTTAGCAGAGTTATTTTAAATGAATATGCAGGGGTTCCAGGAAGTGATTATATCAATGCTAATTTCATTAAGGGAGCTAGTGGTTCACCAGCATATATTGCTAGTCAAGGACCCTTACCGAACACTGTTAATGACTTTTGGAGAATGGTTGTGGAATGTGAGGTTCAAGTCATTGTTATGGCTTGTAATGCACAAGAATCTGGAAAGGTAATCAAATTCAAAAATTTTTAATAACAAATTATTATTTTTAAAAGCTCTTTTTAATGTTAATGTTAATTTTTTTAATGAAAATGTCCTATTAAAAAATAAAATTTTAGTAATCTAGAATTTTTAAAATTTAGCACAAATGTGAAAATTATTGGGTCGAAAAAGAAGGTGAGGAAAAAAGATTTGGAATGGTTCAAATTTGTTTAGTAAAGGCAAGTTTAGTTTGCCCAGATTTTTTGGTTCGTACTATGCGACTTAAATATACAAATGATAAAGATGTTACAGGTGAATAAAGATTTTCTTATAAAATTTTGCATTTATATCAGAATTTATATAAAACTGTCAGTAACTATTATTAATTAACTGATTTTCAGAAGAAAGAACAGTTTGCCAATTTCACTATTCTGCTTGGCCAGATCATGGAGTACCACCTTTAGTGCGTCCTCTTCTTGACATGGTTAGGTTAGTAAGGGACACTCAGGCATCTGAAACCTTACCCGTTTTAGTGCATTGTTCAGCAGGCTGTGGCAGAACAGGAACTATTTGTGCTATAGATTTTGTATGGGGACTTCTTAGAGCAGGAGTAGGCACCATAAATTTGAATTTTTTACCAAATAAATTTTTTTTCAAATTTAAAGAAACATTCATCAATTTTATTTACTTTACAGAAACTAACTGAAGAATTCAGTTTATTTAATTTAGTTAGAGATATGAGAAAGCAAAGAGTGGCTATGGTTCAAACAAAAGAACAGTATATTTTGGTTCATCAAGCTGTTAGGGAGTTATTCAAAGAACAGTTACGGGTTATTGAATCTCATCCTTATGAAAATATAGATTTTAATGGAGTGCCTTTGATAAAAGACTTTGAAGAGCCTTTTTACGATACAATAAATGTTCAAAACATTGAAAACTGTGATGGTGGGTTTCCTTTTTATAATTTTGCAACTTTTTTTTTTTTTTTTTTTATTATTAAAATTAAAATCTAATAATGCAAGTATAATTTTAGAAAAACAAGATAAAAGTGATATTAAAGAAAAAGCGGAAGATAGTGATATTAAAAATGATAAAATAGAATCAGCGCCTCCGTTGCCACGGAAGAAAAGACCAAATGTTTTATTTTCGAAACAAGAAAAAGAAGCTGAAAATTTGACGGAAAAAAATAGATTATATGTATCTGATAAGGATAAAGAAAAAAGTGATGCTTCTCATAGCGGTTTATTAGGAAAACCGAGAATTGTTAAATTACGTGCCTTATTTGAAAAAAATTCAAATTCTAAAGATAGATCGGTTTTAAAAGACAGAGGAAGTCAAACGGTTTCGAGAAGTCATTCTTTGGGGGCTTTTAGAAAACCTTTGACTTCTGAAATTTTTGAAATGCCGACAGAAAAAATGAAACCTTCAAATATATCTCAACAGCCTAATAATGTAAACGATCACAACAAATTAAAACATTCTAAATCTTTTTCTAAATCAGTGCCATTGATTAAAAGGAGTAAATCGTTGAAAAACTTTAGTCCATCACTTCATTTAAGTGTATCAACAGCCGTAGATATTGATCACAAGTTTCAAAAATCATATTTGGTCAATCATCACGAGAATGAAATAAGTGTTAAAAAGGAAAATAATCATTCGAAACAAAAAATCGATCACAAACATACAAATTTCGAAACTTTAAGAGATGGTTCTAAAAGAAGAAGAAGTTTGGAGTCTTTGATGGGTGATTTGCCGCCAACAATAACTTGGCCCAATTCAATGAATGAAGAAAAAAATGGCAATGATTTAAATATAAGGCAAATAATTACGTCATCAAAAATGAATTCTCGTACAATTCAAGATAATAAAACTGCGGATTTGATCAGGTTGCAGTTGCAACGTTTAAGCGTGGAAACTGAAAAAAAAGTTAATAATAATCTTTCGTCGGGAATAGGAACCAGAGAAAGAAGGAATAGTTTTCGACAAGCCGTTACTAAAAATGAATTTCAAAATGTTTTTTTTAATAAAAATGAGCAGCCTTCGACGAGTACCAAAAAACCGACTAATGATTATTTTCTAGTTTCGTATCCGAAAAATAATAGAAATTCATCTGATGCTGGTTATTACGTTGATTACCCTGAAAGCGTTGATTTGAAAACTGCTTTAAAAGTAAAATCCGTTTATCACGAGAATGATAAATACAAATTAAATAGTGGTCCGATAAATAGTAAACCAGAATCGAAAAAACAAATCGTTAGACAAGAAAATTATTCAAATTATTCATCATCGCATTTTTCGACACCCGCATTCAATCACATCACTCCTGATTCACGAGTCTTGAAAGTAATGCCGATTCCTAAAAGTAAACCTCGAAGCGAAGAACTCGAGGTCAGAAATTTAGAATCGAAAAATCTTTTTTTAAAAAGGCTAAATTCAGAAATTTTATCGGAAAAGGAACGAGAATCTGGAGTCAGTTCAAAATACGCCGATTCGCATTCGCGATTGAGTTGCGAGGAATTATTAAAAAAACGAGATTTTTCAAATTCCGAACCTGAAAAATGTTTAATGAGTAATGATCATAGGGTTTTATCAAAAACAAATTCTAAACCTTCATCATTCGGTAAGAATTCAGAAAATTTTGACGAATTGGACGGTTTAAATAATAAAATTTCGACAAAACCAATGCAGAAAGAGGTAAAGGATAAGAATATGCAGTCGTGGTCAAACTCTAGCCTTCAAAATCAACAAATGCAGTCGCCACAAAAACATTCAAAACCAAAAACCACCGATTATAGTTATTACGTTGCCGCAAAAGGTTCACAATTTGCCTTTTACAACAAACCGATTTCCTCGCGAAAAGAAATGCCTTATCAATCTGTGATCGGCGAGCCGTCCAAGAGTGTTAAATTAGATCAATCACCTTCTAGTAAAGTTTTACCTCGAAAAGAACCGACACGTCCAATCGTTCGTAACATTAGTAAGGCGCCCATCAAAGGATATCATCCGAATATCGACAACGAAACAATGTCGCCTGTTAGAGAGCGCAGAAATTTCGGGTACGTGAATTCGGAAAAAAACAAGGCAATCAATTCCGAGTACGATGAATGCGATAAAAAATTATTGTTACCCTCTAAAGTTTTAACCGTTGATAAAAACGTAAAAACTTTTGATTGTTTACCCTGGTCTCATTCCACGTCATCTCGATCCTCGGGAGAAACAAGTTCTTCCGATCAATTTTCCAATAAATCAGATTCTTCGAAATTGTTGTGTCAGTACGATAACGAAAGCATAAACAAATCGGAATTCAAAACGAATAAAAAAGAAAAGATTAAGAAAATGGCGAAAATAAACGTAAACGATTTACCAACCGTATCAAAAACTGGAGAACAATTAAGTGATATGAGTAAACTTAGAAGGGAAAATGATTCTAAAATGTCTTCTGCTGAATGTGAAAATCACGGTAATATTTTACACTACAGAAAGTGTATATATGTGATGATACATTTTTAAAAAAAAAAAAAAAAACTAATTAATTTTTTTTTAGCAGGTGCTGCAGGATCGAAATCGCGACAAAAATCATCTAAATATTCTAAAGATGATTTTCTACTTGACGAACCAACAGCTCCTCCTCGAGTTAAAAGGCATGCTAGTGTCACAATTCCTAGAAACAATGGTAATACCTCTGAGCAAGTGACAAGTTGGGGTTCTAATGAAAACAATTTAAGTTCCGATAAAAATGCCACAACAGAGGTAATAAAATTATTCAATCGCAAAGACCTTAAATTAAAAAAAAAAAAAAATGATTATTATTATTATTATTATTTAAATTTCTCATTCTAGATTGATAAAAATGCATGGAACGGTTTGATTGGTGTTGATTTAGATGCTGTCGCGGCTAGCATGCAGCAAAATAAAGGTAAATTTAATTGTTTTAGACTAAATCCTTTTTAAAATTTATTATTTAAAAAAATTTAATTTAATTTCTTTGCAGGTGAATCATCAACAGTCAAAAATCGTGTTTGGCCTGGCAAAATTCAAACCAATGTTACTGGTAATCCTAACTTTAAAAAGAAACAACATTATTTTTGATATGTGTACTTTTTCATTCGGTAAATATTTCTTACGATGAAAAAAGAAGTTTAAACATTTCAATTATGTTATAATACAGATGATGAAGTTTTTTTAAATTTCAACAAAAAGAAAAAATCAAAAATGTTTTTTATGTTCGAAAATATTAAATATTAAGAAGTAATAGTTTCTATTTTTATATCATTTTTATAAATAAAAAAGAATAAGCACTGTTAATTTGTCAAAGAATATCATTTAAGTACAGATTACACAATAAATTTATTTATTGTTCATAGTAAATATATATTTTTATCTAATAATGTATGAAAATATTATTAAAACTTTAAGTTAAATAAATGATGTAATTTTTTTTTTTTATTTTAATATGATAAGTTTTATTTCTTCCAAAAAAAAATAAATAGCCAAATTTATTTTTTATAACTAAATATTTTAATGAAATACTGTCGAGTAAAATATATCTACATAAATATGAAATAAATTATTGTTTTCATTTATGTATTTATAAAAATTATCTTTATTAGCACCATTATTACTTTTAATTGTTTTACTGTTTGAAATTGTAATTATTAATTTTTTCAAATCTAATGAATTACAAAAAAAATTACCGAAATTAAATTGTTTTTTAGTTTTTGATATTATTTTGAAAAGGATTTTTTAGTTTTTATTTTAATGTTTTTAAGTTGGCAGCTTTTAATTTTTTTCAACTAGTAAAAGTTCCATTAACGTTTGTTTTTTTTTTTTTTTTTTTTTTTTTTTAACTGTAAATCAAATACTAATCTAATAAATTGTAAAAAATTACAAATATTGTTTAATACATATTATGTAAATAAATTCGGAACTTAATATTTAAAAAAAAAAAAAAAAAAACAATTTAAACGAATTGTATTAACGTAAAATATTAAATAATTTTGTAAATGTTGTTTAAAAAAAAAAAAAAAAATGTTTAAACAAAGGAATTGCTATCATAGTGCGAGGTTAAATGAACTTATATTTTATGATTAATTTGATATCGAGCCAATGAGAATAAGACTTCATTTTTTTCTGTTTGTTTTTTTACTCTATGAGAACAAAATGATGTCATAAAAATTGTGTTCGGGGTTTGTGTTCGCGAATGGGGTGAAAATATACTCGTATTTTTACCTCAAATTGATCTCTTTTTTTTAATTAATAATTATTTTAATTAGTATCATTTTATTTGATGCAAATTTATTCGATAAATATTTTTAAAATAATTGATAATTTTAAAACAATGATAATCACGGTTATAAGACAATTATAAGTTGTTTATACAAAGTGAGACTTACAAAAAAAAAAAAAAACATTTTTTAAAGACTAATAATTTTTTTTAAAACGGGAGGCAAATTATAATAATGTAGTTTCGTTAATTTAAATTGTGATATTATAAAAATAATTTTTTTGTTTAAAAAAAAAAAGCATAGTTTATGTTAGTTTGTTCGATAAAATGAAAATAAGGATCACTCAAATTACAAAGGAAGAAAGCTAATAAAAATAATTATTAATTATGCACTTATAAAGCTGTTTCTATAGCTTGTAAAAAAAAATTAATAAGTTTGCATTATGCCACTATCGCAATCTCAAAATCGTCCCGCATTAAATAATATTGAATCTTCGTCAGCTATTCAAAGTGAAATATATTTATCTCGCGTCCCAGTAGAAACAAACGAATCAGACAATCACAATGGTCACCTAAATATTAATCATTTTCCAGCCATTAATAACGATGATGAACAGTTACCATCAGTTTTGCCTACTCTCACATCTTCAGCCTTAGTAAATATACCTATTAGTAGTAGTGAAGTGGATAAAAATCAAACACCAAATAAAACATGTTCTTCTAAGCAAAATTCAGTTTTTGCAACACCTGAAAAAGTTGTCGGATTATATTATGCAAAATTAACTCCTTATGAAAGAAAAGAAATATTCAATTATTCTCATATATATTTCATTGGTGCCAATTCAAAAAAGAGACCTGGTATTATTGGGTCACCAAATAATTGTGGTTATGATAACGAACAAGGATCCTATATGCATGTTTTACATGATCATATTGCTTATAGATTTGAGGTTCTTAAGGTAGGTTGCAATATTAAACATTTAATTTTTATAAATTTCAAAAAAAAAAAAAATTTGCAATTTTAATAACATTGTAAAGCTTTAATTTACTTTGATTAAGTTATTTTTTTATATTAACTTAAATTTATACTTCTACTATTACAACATAAAAGTTTTTTTTGCCTGTTTTAGCATGGTTTTGTAATGATGTAGATGTTTAAGACTGGACTCTCCTATATGTTTTTTTTAACACATAACTTTTCCTAACCTACTCACTCATCCCTTGGAGTTACAATTTTACTGTTGGTTTATATTTTAATGTAAGGTATATAATTTTTGTAGAGCAATTATATTGATTCAATTTGCTTAAAATATTCTCTTATCCTTCTGCTGAAAGCTAAAATTTAAATAAGTTACCTTAAGTAAATTGTTGCTCTATTTTGTACATTCTTTTATTTTTAGATGTTAATAACTATTAATTTATTCTAAATTTTTACACATCATAATTGCATTGTGACTTATTTTTTATGCCCTATTGTTTATTTATAAGTTTATTAATTTAAATTTACTAAAAATATATTTTTTATTAAAAATTTTATACTTAATACAATATTGTTTTATTGTTATTAACAAAAAATTATATTATTGCTTTTGATTTACAATTAAAAAAATAATAAAAATTTTAATTTTACAACTACATATATGCAAAATTTTTTTTTTTTTTTTCAGGTAATTGGAAAAGGTAGCTTTGGACAAGTTGTAAAAGCATATGATCACAAAAATCAAGAAAATGTAGCTTTAAAAATGGTTAGGAATGAAAAAAGGTTTCACAGGCAAGCTCAAGAGGTAAGAATTCAAATTTATTTTATTAAATGTGTAAAGTTATTTTTCTTAATTAGTTGTAAACAATTTAAGATTTATCAACTAAAAATTAAATGAATCAGGTTTTTGAATTTTACACTCTTATTTTTTAAAAATATATATATATGTATTATTAACATTTAAATTTTAACTTTAACTTTTCGTTGTAGGAAATTCGAATATTAGAACATTTACGAAAGCAGGATAAAGATAACACAATGAATATAATTCATATGTTGGACCATTTTAACTTTCGTAACCACACATGCATTACATTTGAACTTCTTTCAATTAATTTATATGAATTAATTAAAAAAAATAAATTTCAGGTACTTTTTTAATTATTTGTTAATTGTACCATATGTGATATAACATAGAAATTCTAGAAGTTTTCACTGAATGCTTAGCAAAACTAAAAATCTTTTTTTTTTTTTGCAGGGCTTTAGCTTACAATTAGTAAGAAAATTTTCTCATTCGCTTTTACAGTGTTTAGATGCACTTTATAAAAATAATATTATACATTGTGATATGAAACCGGAAAATGTCCTTTTAAAACAACCGGGACGATCTGGAATTAAGGTTTCAATTAATGAGCAAACAACTGATTTTTCTATATTTTTTTTATTTTAATTTTTTTATTCTGACTCTAACTGATAATAATTGTGTTATAGGTTATTGATTTTGGTTCGAGTTGCTACGAAAACAAAAGGGTATATACATACATTCAATCTAGGTTTTATAGAGCTCCAGAAGTAATACTCGGTGCCAGATACAGCATGGCTATTGACATGTGGAGCCTAGGTTGTATTTTAGCAGAATTATTAACAGGGTTCCCCCTCCTTCCAGGAGAAGACGAGGCTGATCAGTTAGCTTGCATTATGGAATTATTGGGAATGCCCCCGCAAAAACTTTTAGAGCAATCTAAAAGAGCTAAAAATTTCATAAACTCTAAAGGTTACCCCCGATATTGTACGGCATCGGTGCTTCCCGACGGATCCACAGTTTTAAGTAGCGGTTTGTCTAGATTGGGAAAAAGCAGGGGTCCACCTGGTTCGAAAGAGTTGAGACGAGCTTTAAAAGGGTGCGACGACCATTTATTCTTAGACTTTATTCAACGTTGTTTAGCTTGGGATCCGGAGGAGCGAATGAGTCCGAACACGGCATTGAGACACGCTTGGCTGAGAAGAAGATTACCAAAGCCTCCGGGAAACGTGACAACGGGAGAATCCAAACAAGAAGTAAATTCGGCGATAATTAGAACTCCTGCAAAAGCTAGCACAATAAGCAAATTAAATAAATTGAGAGTTCAAGTTTCCGAGGATAGGACTAATTCATTAGCAATGATTTCTAGGAATTCCCACGGGAGAATGTCGAAACTTCCACAAATACCGGCAACAAATCCTATTTAGCGTAATAATTAAGAACAAAAAAAAAAAAGTCAAAATGCTCTCACATACTTTGTTTGTTATTTTTATTTTTTAAAAAAAAGTAATGTTAACCAGGAGTTATTTAAAATTTTATTCAATTATTATTATTATTACTTTTTTTTTTTCTTCAAATATTTCAAACCGACACTTTTTTTTTGTTAGCTCGTTATATTTGAAGAATCGTAAAAAAAAAAGTATTTAAAATGACTGTTTAGTATAAATATTTTTTTTTTTAATTGACATATTTATAAATGACAGTGTTTATAACATAAATTAGGAATTATTCAGACGACGAGCCTTTTTTTAATTTAGGGAAATAAAAAAATAAAAAAATTTTTTTTTATTTATATTGCCATCACCGAGTTAAAAATGTAAATAATAATAATAATAATATTAAATTCAGTTCGAAGTCGATGATATATACTTTAACTGAAAAACAATGCCCAGAGATTTCTAAAAAATAATATTAAAAATATTATTTAATAATAATATAAATAAATATTCGTTTTATTTAATAATAATAATAATAATCCTCATGGGCAAAAATGAAAAAAAAAAATGTAGACTTAATAATAATTTTAATTTATAATTTACTCGGTAAATTTTTTTATTATTATTATATTTTTTTTTTATTAGTAATTTTCGATGATGTTAAAACTTATATTCGTAAACTTTTGTGACGATAAAATAATAATAATAATAATAATTAGCATAAATCCAAGAAATTAAATTATTTCTTATTAGTAAAAAAAAATTTTTTTTTTTTTTTTTAGACAAATTAAATTACGTTAATAAAATTAAATATGGAGACGGTCAGTTTATTTTATTTTATTTTTTTTAAAAAAAAAAAAACAAACAAGAATGCGATGAAATCTTTCTATAAAAACGACGACTGACTCTAAGAAAATAATAATAATAATAAATGAATTAAACGGGATATTTATTATTAAAAAAAAAAATTAAATGAAATTAGCT